TGCTACAAAATGTGACACGCTGTGAAGTCAAACGATGTTTTAAATTAATATATCGTCGAAAGTGTTTAATTTTGTGAGAAAAGAAAAAATACGTGTCTAAAGTTTTAAATAAATGTACCAGACGGACATTTAAATAAAATTTAGGAAACTACCCTATTTTTTCAACATCTTTATATCCACTACCCGATAAACTTGTGTGACAGATAGTCCGTATAAATTATGTTCTTTATGTGATACATACTCATAGCGACTATCAAGATATTGTGAAACAGGCCCTTAGAATTTTTTTTTATTTTGAGGAGGGCAAAATCATCGAATTACTGCTCCCGCCTGGGTGAGGCGGAAGGGAGTGTCAGACTCTTACTGACTAAAAACCACCCCGTTCCTACTTCTACACTTCGAGCCGGAGCCCCGGTAACCCGTTAGGTTCTCCGCGACAGGCCCTTATAATAGCTTACATTTATGGATTGGCTAGATTTTTATGGCAAGTTAAAACGAAGAGACTATTCCGTGCTAACACAATGCGTAGTAAAATAGTAAGTGGTTCCTGTATAATAAGCCAGTGACTCATATACATGAAGACTATTGACAATATACCTACCTACCTCTATATGTATGTATTAACATATATGTATTATGAATGTTATTTGGACGATTTTAGAGGTCGACGCTGCGTTAATTATGTTAGCTATGTATGTAGTTAAGTATGTATATATGTAGAGGTAAAAATTGAGTGTTTGTCTATAATAATGAGTCTTAAGCGCTGTTGCGTGAAGAAAACGTGGTTTTAACTTAGGGTGTAACTTACTGATTAATTTAACTTAGGGTGTAACTTACTGATTAATTTAATTTTACTGACTGCCTCGTTGGCCGATTGGTCGCAAGTGCGAATGTCGGACAAGAGTGTGAATGTCGATTCACGGGTCGGGCAAAGTATTACTGGGTTTTTAAAAATCTCAGTAGTAGCACGGAGTCTGGAAATGTGCCCGGTATATGGCAATAGGCTCACCCCCTATTACATGGGACTCATAACATAAATAGTGAAAAGTGGGTTACATTGTACAGTGGCATTAAGTGCCATAATGTGCACTTCTGCCCACCCCTTCGGGGATAAAAGGCGTGATGTTATGTATGTAATTTTACTTAGTATAAATGCGCAATAAAAATGATTGCTTCGTTGGCTCTGGCGGTCCAAGTGCCCATGGCCGATGCCTATTGCGTACCATCAGGTGATCCGTCTGCTCGTTTACCGGTTTATCCCATAAAAAAGTAAAGTTTTTTTTTTGTTAAAATAAAACCCGCGATTTTTAGTTAAAATACAAATCACCTTATTTCAAAAGTCAGTAAGAAAATCAAAGTTCTGAATGTCATCGACCGGCCTTAAGAATTAAGAACAGATGGCTAATTTTAACTCATGTTAAACCTACTAACCTCACATCGCATTAGGTATTACATTGAGATAGACATTCTATCAATAGACACTAGTTAATATTCCAATAGCAATACAACATCTAATGATGTACTCTATTCTACTTACGTAAGTGTTCAAATTCTTTAATCATTCTATTCGCAATGCCTTCAAGAGATTACTTTCTCGACTTTTACTGTCTACAAACTGGTTTAGAGGGTCTACATTAGCCAGGAATATTCTTATAGACTTTCCAATCTTAGATTTTCCGAATAAAACGACTCTACTTGTGAATAAAAGCTACAGGCATAAAATCTGATTTCTACTAAACTAAGAAAAAACAAACTAAGAATTCGTAAATCATCAAAATGGTTTGATTCAGTGCTTCCTGGCTGTCCTGTCGTCCATCTTAAATTATATCGGCATCTAAGTGTTCTCGCCTAAAAAAAAAATAGTAGGCTCATTGAGAGGACCTACGACAGTTCGCTAATTTAAAGAAAAAAAAAACAATCAGTTGAGAAAAGCATGTTCTCTTTACAAATAAGTTCCTCAAATCAGCCATTATTTATAGTATTCAACCAGTTATTTAGACAATATATCACTTGATTGAATAAGGTAGGTTGACGAATTGGAAAAAAAATGGAACCATTATTTAGAGCACACATCGTTTACTTCAGAACTTATTTTATTTAGACCTTTACACCAGTAAGCGGTGTTCTCAGTAAAATTAGTCTCCGGAAATTAAAAAAAAATCGATATGCAGGGACTCAATAGGCCCAATATTAAAACTGATATTTTTGAAGTATCTCCAAATCTGGGCCTTTCCGAATTGGACCCTGACAATCCTGTGTGGCGAGCAAAACAGGTACTTATTGTACTAGTTTTCTTATGTATAATCTGCATTTCATGCTGGTGAATGACCTTAGTGCATTCAATGGAAACGAAAGTAAAGAAAATTTGTGTTAAGTACACAAAAAGTTAGCAGTGCTGGGTGTGCAAAAAGCAAGTACATAGATAGGTTTCGAAGTGATTTATTTTCTTTTTAGATTGTTGTTTAATAAAAACGAACTTGTTCTTGTCACTATAGTCACTATGTGATTGTCTAAATGATTTTCTATGTTTGATAGGATATAGCTAACCGGTTTTCGAATTTGCATACTTAGTGTTATTTCTACGACCAACTTGCAACCTATTTGTTGCTTTTTAAATATACTTAAAGATTAACTAATAGAAAATTAACTTATTACAAGCAATTGATGATTATTATTTTCTTAATGCATTATGAAATGAAGCGGTTTTTTTCTTAACGTCAGGCTCAACTCCAAATCTTCTCTATGTACAATCGACAAAAGTGTCGGTCGACCATCATTAGATATTCGCATGCACTCAACGCGAGCGACGACAGGGTAAAAGGCCGATGGCAAGTGATACCACAGGATTTTTTTTAAAAGTGGACTACCTGTCGTTAGTACATATGCACCTACCTGCTCTAATACTTATTAGAATACTTACCTATCGGAAGGCCTAACGGGGCTTGAAGGACAGGAATAGGAACAGGGTTGTTTTTAGTCAGTACGAGTCGACACTCCCTTTCGCCTAATCCAAGGCGGGAGAAGTCATTGGATGACTTTTCCCACTAAAAAAAACTTATCAACTTCAGCTTGTTATTACGTCGATACATGTATGTACCAATATCCACGTATGTACCAATATTAAAAGCGATAAAACCTACTAATTAACTGCTCAATCCCCAAGCGGTCATCGATGACCACTCTCCACTGACTCCATTATAGACTTTATTTCCGATGATAAGAGACTACTTTTGTATAAACAGATTAAGGGGTTAATATACCAACCTAGTAATGAGTTCTAAATTCCATTATTAACGACTCAATCAAAGGTACTAAAATGTTAATATGTTCATGTTTCTTTTTACGCAGCCAGTAGATGAATTGCATTCTTTAATTCGCGTAATAATAGTGTTCATTCACGAACGTAAAAGTGGGACATTAGGTTATCTGTGGCCGATAACATTTCCTTTTAATTTTGTCTTTTTGTAACAGACAAACAGCCCTTTACTATTTACTACGTATTACTAGATCTTCATTATTTTATCTGTTTTTTTATTTTTAAATTTTTTTTCCACATTTAAATGATGTTTGTTTTTTTTCCACAAACATTTAAATTAGTCCAGCCGTTTCCGAGAGTTGCGTTTATAATCAGAACCAACATTATGTTATGCTCTACAAATGGAAATCACAGATTAAAGTAATAGTTATTATTATAAGTACTTACATAGTTTTTACGATAAACATAATGATAGTAAAAAGTTTAGTAGTATCGTGTGAATTAATTTTCTTGGATGACAATAGGTTCACTTGTTGTATGACAATAATTACTGTTGCTACAACAAATTATGGTTTTCCTTGTTGTAAAAACAGATGGAAAATTACATAATAATGAAAATATTTATTTTATTTTTATATATATTTTATTATTACTTACATATTTATTGCTTGTCAAGTACAATTCTTTAGTACTCCAGAATGCGGTTCTTATAACATAAAATACATGTTTTTTTTTAAGAATCATTTATAAATAACGTGCCAAATAAAATAGTGTGTCTCATATTGCGCGCCTTTAAGATTAAGTTTAGCAAATCACACCACAAAACAAAACAAAACAAATCTTTAATCACATACTTAAATCTCCAACCATTTAAAAATGGCAATAACAATTCATCAAACCACCTACATCCGACCATCTCGATGATCCGACATATCCTGCAATAAAAATAGAAATAGCATAGCTCTAAGTATAAAATTGCTCAGTTCACAATAAAACCTCCTTGACGATGTGTATCAGCGATCGCGGGGCACGGCGCGGCGTCCATAGCCCTCACTTATTTCGTGGTGGGCGGTTGGCTCTGTGACTGGTACTGGCCAGTATTTACTCTCTGCAGCATCCTACCATCGACATTCGACTTGGCCACAGCTATAACTACTATGTGTGCTATTAAGTGGTGAAAGTGTGAACTTTAATTAATGTGTGTTAAGGATTATTTTTGTGATTAAAATGAAGCTGAAGGATTTTATTAATTTGTTTGTAAGTTGGTCTTTTTGAATGTTATTTTAGATGGATAGAATTGTCGGTTCGTACTTTCTAAATCGTAGTGTTGTTTTTATTGGAATTCGCTGTCGACAAGTAGAGAACGTTGCGATACTTTCGATGACCTTTTTGCAAGGAGAATACTTTAATAATATTTGGCTAATTCTTCCTTTGAATAAATAAAATAAAGTTGTTAAACTGCCAATCAGGATTTTTAGAATTTCTATTAGGTAGGTGCCTATAATAGCTACGCTCGTGGGCATTTGAGGAGGATCAATGTGGAGAGAGTGATTTTCGTCTCTTAAAATTAATTACGAAGAACAACGAACACGAACGAACGAACTCATTATAGGAGGATTTGTAATGTGCAGGGGAATTATAAACTGCTCTCATACCAAATAATTTAGATAAAGGGTAGAAAGAAGAGTGTAGGTCCATATGGCATTGATATAATTATGACTAAACCCCCTTCTTTATCCCCCAGATAACCACCGAGCACCAGCATCTGACTACTTCGCACGACTACAAGGGGGGATGGTCCTTCTACTTGGTCCTAGCTGGGATAGTGACAACGCTGGGTTCCTCGCTGCCTGTCGGATACAATATTGGAGTTGTTAATACACCTGCTGACGTAAGTAACTATTTACTTTAATTCGAATCAATAGTACTGTAGATTGGCGCGTTCAAATTAATAAAAATACTCTCCAACTTAATATACACTCACAATACCAGAGCCACTTCTGGTATTGAGTGTTCATGGGTTGTGCTGATACCACCTGGTAATATCGGCTCGTTTCTCCTCTATTATATAAAAAAGTAATTTTATCAGCGGCTTTAATCGCATGTAGTTCTCATTAGGGGCCCATTTTTAAACGACTTCTTTTCTCAGTATTCCTTAAACTCAAATTGAGAACAATTTCTTTTTCTTTTTGGGTGGATTGAACACATATACATATAAAGACAAAGTGTTTATAGAGACCTTCGGCGTCAAGGATTTTAGACCAGCTCCCTGAGCACTGATTTCCTGCTGAGTACTACCTACATACTCTTGAAGTTTTTGTTACGCGAAGAAATAAATGCCTACTAATGCTTTATTTTTAGCTGGGATTTAATGAGAAATTTCACAATTTCTGAGTTGAACTAGTGCTCATTCGACCATAAAATTAAACATTTTAGATATTGTTATACAACGATAAGATTTTCTCGAAAATTACTTTCGATTTTAGGGTAACTCAGCAAAAGTGCAATTTTCTGTTTTATTTTGTATATATAAAACTAGCTTCTGCCCGCTACTTCGTACGCGTAATCAAATTTTTTCCCGTCCCCGTTCGTGATTTTCGGTAAAAAGTAAAAAAAAAATTGGTTAAAAAGTATCCTATGTCGGTCTCCTGGCTCTAAGCTACCTCCCTACCAATTTTCAGCCAAATCTATTCGATCGTTCTTGAGTTATAAGTGGTGTAACTAACACGACTTTCTTTTATATGTATAGATGAAAGTAATTGTTAACAAGAAGTATATATGTATGTTCATTGACAAACGTCCGCACGTATGAGGAAAAAATATTAATAATTTTCATAATTACTTAAGCAATATTCCCTCTATAATGCTATAAAGAGCAACAGCTATAAAACTGATTAAGAGACGCTAATGAGATTTTAATATGATGTAAGTAAATCGTGAAAACTGTGTCAAGAAATAAGTAATGGTGCAGATTGCCCGATTTAGTTATTTACAAAATATTTTTGTTATAAAAATTAATATCTCTAGTTGGTATGAACATAAAGCCGCGGAGAACCTAACGGGTTACCGGGGCTCCGGCTCGAAGTGCAAGAGTAGGAACGGGGTGGTTTTTAGTCAGTAAGAGTCTGATACTCCCTTCCGCCTCACCCAGGCGGGAGAAGTCATTTGTTGATTTTTCATTCTTTAAAAAAGGTATGAACATCAAAGAATTATAAGATCTTACTAACATTATAAATGCGAGTGTTTGTGTGTATGTTTATTACTCTGACGGGACCGGAATGAAATTTGGAACATAGCGGGTCGATAATGGTCTGGAATAACATAAATGACTGCCTCGTTGGCCGAGTGGTTGCAAGTGCGACTGCCGGGCAAGGGGTCTCGGGTTCGATTCCTAGGTCGGGCAAAGTACTACTGGGTTTTAAAGAAACTTCTCAGTAGTAGCACGGAGTCTGGAATTGTGCCCGGTATATGGCAATAGGCTCGCCCTCTATTACATGGGACTTATAACATAAATAGTGAAAAGTGGGTGTTACATTGTACAGTGGCATAATGTTCACCTCTGCCTACCCCTTCGGGGATAAAAGGCGTGATGTTATGTTAATAACACAAATGCTTTTCATCCCATGGGAAAGGCGATGCCGCAGGCAGAAACTACTAAAATTATAATTCATATGAAACATTTAAATGGAGTTACGCGATCTTATTATACCTAGCTACTTAAGTCACCATTTGAAAAGATTAATGGTTTGAAAACACGTGCGCGAGGAATGCATCGAGAATTGGCATTGATTATTACATTTTCTTCTTTTTATAGTTGGTACTTGATTGTAGATGAAAAATCGTATAAGTGTAATTGTGACTGTAACAACGAAGTTATTTAGTAATACTACTACATTAGTAATACTACTAAATTAGTATGCAGGTTAGAAAATATCGATTGGTTCAGTACAGAGACAGTAGGAATGCTACTGAGCCGACGAACGAAATACCATTGGTTACAAAACAAAGAAAAAGGCCTCACAGAAGACCAACGTGAAAAAACTGAGGCCCAACAACACCCCCCCTTTTTCCCCAATCCCTGAATCACCAACAATCCTCAAATTCCTAATTCAAAAAGGCCGGTAACGCGCTTGTAACGCCTCTGGTGTTCCAGGTGTCTATGGGCGAAGCCGATTGCTGGCTATCAGGTGATCCGTCGGCTCGTTTACCGGCTTATGCCATAAAAAAATGCAATGGGCGCTAGTGTTGCAACTCAAGAGTACGAAATTTTACAATATTAATATTGATCGATTGGAATTGGATTCAAGTGTACTTTATTGAGCACGTGAGTTGTCAGTACGATAACAGTGTTTGCTTTATGACTGATGAAAATTGGCGTAAAGTTACGTTATAATCTCGGTCATATTACTGGTACTTTGTAATGTCATCTTATGCAGGAAAAAATAAAGCAACTCAGGTCTGGATCACATCACCTCATCGGTTTCACAATGAGACGGTAAAAGTAACAAGAAACTTCAATTAGAATTGAATGGCAGTTCATGATTGTGAGATTGTATTTGCATAGTTTTAATTTTTCCTGTGTTAATTTCCTTGTCGTAATTACGTACTGTTGTCATCAACAATTTTTTTATGAATAGATGGAAAGGCAGATTGAATGGGTAAATATTTTGGAGTTGAGGAAAGAATAATAATTATGTAAATACTATGAAAGAAAGGATCTCTATATTTTAAGATTTTAAAATATCTGGTGTGGCCTTTTTTTGTTATTTACGAATCATCAACATCATCATCAACAGCCTATAAATGATGAATGCCCACTGCTGAGCAAAGCCTCTTCTCACACGGAGAAGGTTTAAGCATTAATCACCACGCTTGCTCAATGCGGGTTGGCGGTTATAGACTTCTAATTAGAAATTATAAGCCCAGGTTTCCTCACGATGCTTTCCTACACCGTTTGTCAGTGGTGTCGAGATAATCTTAGGAAGTACATATAACTTGAAAAAAGTCACATTGGTACTTGCCGTTGGTAGGTTTCGAACCCGGGGAGGCCTCTTAAACCTCCGGTTCACTACGACACATTGTTTAAGAATGCGTATAAAATAAATATCTATTTTTTTTTTAAACGTTTGCCCATACTAGGATTATCTCCCTGTGTCGTACAAACATACAAGTTCACATACACATGACACCCAGACCCAGAACAACAATTTGTGGATCACACAAGAGAATCGGACCTGCGTTATACGTTGTGGGACAGTCGATGGGCCACTCACAAGTGTGCAGTGTGTTTACTTACCTTGTGACAAGGCATACCTAATGCAATGTTTTCTATACATTCCAGGTGATAAAGAGTTTCTGCAACGAAAGTTTTATAACCCGGTACGACGTGGTCCTTGACGAAAAATGGCTGAACGTGCTCTGGTCGTTCGTGGTCTCCATCTTCATAGTCGGAGGCTGCACCGGCTCCATACTCGGCGCTGTACTTGCAAACAGCTTGGGAAGGTAAGCAGAGAACTATGTATATGGATGTAGATTTTTGTCTGTACGGATTGTAAAAAGAGTTGCAGGTTCGATTCTTGCACGTAACAACTCTTTGTGTAATCTACACATTTGTGAAATTGTATGTTTGTAAACGCACCCACGACATAGGAGAAAATCCTAGTGTGGGGCAACGTTTTTAAAAAAAACCCGCTTTACCAACAAAAGTCAAAGTCAAAGCATTTATTCCAATTAAACCATAATTTGGTACTTTTGAAACGTCAACAAATCACTACATAGTATAAAACAAAGTCGCTATCCGCCGTCTGTCTGTCCCTATGTTTGCTTAGATCTTTAAAACTATGCAACGGATTTTGATGCGGTATCTTTTAATAGAGGTAGATAGAGTGATTTTCAAGGAAGGTTTATATTTATAATACATGCAAATTGCAATGTACCTATGCAAAGCCGGGGCGGGTCGCTAGTACAAAATAAAGAATAGTCTGTCAGTCTGTCCGTCAGTGAAGCTAGGTCCCTGTCCTTAGTTCCTTACACATAACATGCATTCCTTTTCACTCAGCATGTACTTTAAACAAAAGCTATAATAACGTATGTGAAAGCTTGTAAAATATCCAGTTGTTTGTGTCATTTTATCGTTCCACAAACACAGCTCCTACTGACACTATAATGATGTGTCCTCGTGGTACGAAGGAGTTTGCATAACAGTCGACAGGTATTACAAATATTAAACTGCGTTAGCGTTATGTAGTCCATGGTGTTTATTAACTGATTCATCAGACCTTTTGTGCTGAGTTTTAGTAACATGTTGTTTTACTAGCTACTCCCACGCGCTTGCACTCGCTGCTCGACTCCTATTACAGAAGTAGTTAGTTGTAGTCTACAGATTTGATTTTGTTATGGCGTACATCTCATAACGCATAAACATTAGGAGTACTTTCTGTTCTGTACCCTCATTTTATGTCCCATAGTGCAATCCCTCTTGATCAAAAAAAGGTCAAATTTTTTGATCCCTTTATGATTTGTGGGGGTCTGGAATCAGGTCGGAAGAATGAAGCAACAAGACACCAGTAAGCATAGTTCACTTTTCACATTTCGACACACATGCCACTATGTTCTTCTCCATTGGAAACTACACTTTGGAACGATCGTCTAGCCTCACTGACAGACAGACGGACGGACAATTCAATTTTTGACGTTTCAAAAGTGCGTAATTATGGATTAATTAAAATGAATGCTTTTCCTTTAAGTAGCAACTTGTTACTGCTTAATTAAACACTCTATCATGCTTGTTTATTGTTGTTATTATTGTTTACTAGCTTTTACCCGAGGCTTCGCTCGCGTCACAAAAGGATAAAAAGTAGCCTATGTGACATATACCAATACATACAGCGCCATCTATACCAATACTTTTGTTTTTCCTCGGGAATATCAAATTTTTCCGGGTTAAAAAGTACCCTATTATTTAATCCGGACTTCTAACATTACGTCTGCAAACATTCAAAGCAATCGGCTTAGAAGTCACGGCGTGAAAGTGGAACAAACAAACAAACTGACTTTCCGATTTATAATATTATATAGTAAGGATTTATTTATTGTTTTCATATTCCTCCCTAATTCAGTTCTTCCTGTTTCCTTTTATGTCGTCGTTGGTGCTCCTCCAGTGATTGTTTACCGTCTACTGCTATGCCATAAAAAATAAGATCGAAACATGTCTGATTGTTATTATGTTTGTTGCAGAAAAATGGCGACGGTAGTGACGAGCGTGCTATCAATCGCCGGCGGGCTGCTGTTCCTGCTGTGCCAAAGAGCTAACTCAGTCGAAATGCTTATATTAGGCAGATTACTAGTCGGCTTGTCTGGTGGTAAGTCCTTTTTTGTGTGTTTATTACCAGCAGCTGTAGCCATTGCATTAATGCCATTGAGCGCTTGTACCAAATTATATGGAATTGACGTAAATTTTGACACTTGTCACTGTCATCCCCATATATTTTAATTTCTACTCTCTCTGTAGACAAGCGCTAAATTGGCGTTTTTTTTTAAGTTAGTAGCCAAACGCTACTTCAATTCCATATAATTTGGTTTTCGATTCTACATGTAGACAAGCGCTAAATGGTATTTGGCTACAGCTGCTGATTACTCCGGCGTTTGTGGACGGATTTTTGTCATCCATGTTCCATTTAATTAAGAAGTACTTAATTTTGGTAGCTTCGAAGGCTGAGGAGACGTTAATAGAATAAAGTAATTGTGGTGTAAAATTAAATAATCGAGTTTCAAATGAGTTTTAAGTTTGGGTCAACTAACAAATTGTTTGGTATTTTCCTATGGGATTAACCGGTAAAAGAGCAGATCATAAGAATCATAAGGTGATCCGTCTTGCTATCGAAGCAATTGGCGTCGCTCATGGACACCTGGAACACTAGAGGCGTTACAAGTGCGTTACCGGCCTTTTCGGGATTAGGAATTTGAGGATTGTTGGGAATTCAGGGATTGGGGAGTTGGGGGAAGGGAGGACTTACACTGTTTACTGTGATACTATGGTCTCCAGTCGAATCAGCACATTCGTGAAGAAGCATTGCATTAATGTTGGGTCTAGATAATATGTGCCTGATATTTGATCATAGGCTAGCCTCCTATTATATGGGGCACAATAAGAATTTCATTTAATTTATCCTTACTAATATTATAAATCGGAAAGTGAGTTTGTTTGCTTGTTCCGCTTTCACGCCGTAACTACTAAACCGATTACTTTGAATTTTTGTAGACATAAAGTTAGAAGTCCGGATTAAATAATAGGGTACTTTTTATCCCGGAAAATTTTGAAATTTCCGAGGGAAAACAAAAGTATTAGTATAGATGGCGCTGTGTGTATTGGTATATGTCACAGGCTACTTTTTATCTTTTTGTGACGCGAGTGAAGCCGCGGGTAAAAGCTAGTAGAATAATAAAAGTGATGTTATATTAATGTTTGGACGATATACATGGAAATGTTTTCTGTAATATTTGGTAACATTACAATAAATTGTTTGGTAGATTACGATGCATGGAAAGTTACATTGTTACATCGCGAACAGATCGTTAAATTTTATCATTGGGCACTAAAACGACGCCGGCACGACTGGTCTAGCTATAATAGATATTATTTTAATAACTTTGTTGTTATGAGTTTTACAATATTACATCACACCTTTTAACCCCGAAAGGGTAGGCAGAAGTGCACACTACAGCACTTAATGCAGTTGGCATTACAAAGTTTTCACTATTTCACTATTTATGTTAAGAGTCCCATATAATAGAGAGTGAGCCTATTGCCATATACCGGGTACATTTCCAGACTCCGTGCTACTATTGAGATTTTTTTGAAAAACCCTGTAATTCCTTGCCCGACCCGATCGAATCCGAAACCCCTTGCCCCGGCAGTGGCTCTTGCGACCACTCGGTCAATGAAGGTTGGCGATTACAAACTTATAATTAGAAATTATAAGCCCAAGTTTCCTCACAATGTTTTCCTTCACCGTTTGTCAGTAGTGTCTAAATAATCTTAGAAGATAGAAGTGGTGTTTTCGTGTATCTAAATCTGTTCTTGCTCATAAGGTCAGAGACAGATCACGTAGCTGATCTTACTGTTCCGTAGATTAATAGTCGTACAGTTTAGTAGATAATAGATTTTTAACTTTTTGGCTTTGGGATAAAATCGAAAATCTATTGCACGCAATTTGATACACGATAACACACGTGACCTACTGATTTTTGTATCTAGTTTAGGATTTTAAAATATGGTTTTTACTTTCAGGTCTAACTACCAGCATAGTGCCCATGTACCTGACGGAGCTGGCCCCCGCGGCGCTGACCGGGGCCATGGGGGTCGCGTGCCCCATGGGGGTCAACGTCGGGGTCCTCGTCGGACAAGTCATGGGGTTAGATTTTATATTAGGTGAGTTGTTCAGATATATTTTGAGAACTTTTTGTCATAAACAAAACCGCGCAATAATGATTGTATGGGCTAGTAGCACCCGTTCAGCAAATTTGTCAGATGTCAGGTAGACCGGAGGGCGATTTGGGGATTGTAGTCTAGAAAACTCGAATAATTGTCAAGCTAACCGATGCTACGGAGCGTCTTTATTACACTGATTAATATAAAATTAAAAAAAATAAATAAAAATATATTTCTTACAAACAATACAAAAATAAACGTATTCCTAGTTTTATACATCTATTCCTAATCTGTAATTCTAAAATTATCTATTTTATAAAATTTACTATTTATGTAAGAACCCCTCGTTCTCGAAGGCCTCGTCTAGAGATTTCCATTTATCCCTGTTCTTCGCCGTCTCCATCCACTGTTTGCCGGCCGCTTGTATAATATCGTTGTTCCACCTTGCATCTGGTCTACCCCTCTTTCCTGGTGCCTGATGGGCCCTTCCAGGATGTTGACCTGGCTGACCATCGGTTATCTGTTATAAAATTACATTATAATAATTAAAACTAGGTCATGCGTTCAATGACGTCAAAGCGTCAAATAACTAAAATAAAATGTTCAGTGCTAGCTTGTACTATGATTTTTAAGTTTATCATCATATGAGATTGCGACCTCTAACAGGTCATCTGTCCATCTTATCCTGCATTCTTTTTTTATAAACTAAAGTAATAGATTCACATTCGAGTCACTGGTTTAAGAAGACGACCAGTGGTATTTTTGAAAAATCCTGTGATCACATTTGTGACACTTATAAGATCAAAGTCGATAGAGGCGCCATCTAGTGTGTGCAGAAATGATACTTTTCATCAAGTCATTAATTTCATAGTCGTTAAGTTAATCTTAATTGTATTACGTTGTTCCAGGTCGTGCCGAAGATTGGCCCTACCTACTGTCCGTCTACGCGTTGCTAGTCATTATATGTTTACCGTTGTTATTTATACTGCCAGAAAGTCCAAAGTACTTATTTGTAGTTAAGCAAAATGAGGAGAGAGCTTTAAAAGGTAAGTAATATGTACGATTTTTCCTAGTGACATTTTTTTTTAAGTTTATTTAATTTTTATCTATTAAAAATGCTTAATTTGTCCTGTTCCTAAGCACACTTGTAGCAGAATTTAGTTATTTACAATAAATAACAAATTAAAAATAAATTAATAAAGGGCTTAAACTTTTTTTAACCTTCTAATCCGATTTTAGATTATGAAGTTTGCATTATTATTTAAAGCCTAAGCCTATAGTATGTCGCGGAGAACCTAACGGGTTATCGGAGCTTCGGCTCGACGTGCAGGAGAAGGAACGGGGTGGTTTTTTGTCAGTAAGAGTCTGACACTCCCTCCCGCCTCACCCACGCGGGAGCCGTCATTCGATGATTTGTCCCCTTAAGAAAAGAAAACGCCTATAGTATATAATGTACTATGTTGACCAGAACTGAGTCGTCTCCGCGGCGTGTCCCCGAGCGTCCTGAGCGAGGACGTGGAGGTGCTCCGCGAGGAGTCCCGCGGGCCGCAGTGCGCGGCCGGCGCCTGGTCCATGGCGCGCGTGCTGCGGGACCCGCGCCTGACGCTGCCGCTACTGCTCGTCTGCAGCATGCAGGCCGGCCAGCAGACCAGTGGGATCAATGCGGTAAGGTTTTTAAGTGATAGTTACGTGCCACTCACTCACTATGACATGGACTCATAACATAAATATTGAAAAGTGCACAGTGGCATTAAGTGCCGTCATGTGCACCTCTGTCTACAGGTAAAGGGCGTGATGTTATGTTATGTAATATTTCAAAATTTCTTGTCTTATAAATCTGTATATCCATGTGTTTGTAAACATGACAGTCGAAGGAGGCTAGCTAGAAGGTTTGTGGTTGATTCCTGACACCGCACCACACACTTTTTCACTTGTGAAATGGCACAGAGATAAAATACAATAAAAAAGCTATTAGTTTGACCTCTTTCGATTGTTATTCTTACAAATTCATAATTTTTATAGCTACGAATAGAACAAACACTACGATCAGTCACTCAGAAACGCCCATCTCTCACCAACACCCTCAAAATTAAATGACTTGGTTACGATTCCCAAGGTGCCTGTCAAGTATTAAAAAAAAGCATTATTCCGCACTAGGATTTTCCTCTATATCGTGGGTGCGTTTACAAACATACAAGGTCACATACACATGACACGCAGACTCGAAACAACAATTTGTGGATCACACAAAGAGTTGTTCAGTGCGACAATGTCAAGTGTAAGGATTATGGCCAAGCTTATGGCCAATCCCATAATGAAAGTAACCTTTAAGCATTTGTTCAGCATACATTTTACCTTATAATGTCAATAATCGTAGAATTATTATGTCTTCCAGGTGTTCTACTACTCGCAAACAATATTCAAGCAGGCCGGTCTAAGCGCCCAGAGCTCCCAGTACGCGACGATAGGGTGCGGGTTCATCAACGTGTGCACGGCCGTGTTGATGCTGAAGTTGTTGCCTCGCTTCGGGCGGCGCCCACTGCTGCTGGCGTCCGTCGCCGCGGCCGCCGCCATACTGGCCGCGCTCGCTGCTTGTATGAGGTTTATGGTGAGTTGGAACACTGATGTTTAAACCTTTGAGTACCGTCATTATAGACACAACTAGCTTTTACCCACAGCTTCGCTCGCATCACAAAAGGATAAAAGTAGCCTATGTGACATATACCAATACACACAGCGCCATCTATACCAATACTTTGGTTTTCCCTCGGGAATATCAAATTTTTCCGGGATAAAAAGTACTCTCTTATTTAATCCGGACTTCTAACTTTACGTCTGCAAAAATTCAAAGCAATCGGTTTAGTAGTTACGGTTTGAAAGCGGAACAAACAAACAAACAAACAAACTCACTTTCCGATTTATAATATTGCGGTGTCCTCGCGATGTTTGACAGTTTAATGTTTCAAGGACTGCACTAGGCAACCGGCTGCCGTGCAATGTGTCGCGGGTTCGATTCCCGCACGGAACACTTTGTGTGATCCACAAATTATTGTTCCGGGTCTGGGTGTCATGTGTATGTGAACTTGTATGTTTGTAAACGCACCCACGATACAGGAAAAAATCTTAGTGTGGGGCAACGTTTAAAAAAAAATGTTTTTTTTTATTATTTATGATGTTGTATGAATAGAGTTACGATATGAAATGAAAAACGTTTATTCGGCATAAGACATGCACGCCAGGAAAAATAAACTTATGCATTATGACAAATAACAATAAAGAGGTTTAAAAACAGCATGTAAAGAAAAAAAAAAGATATCTATATGGGGTTGATTAAAATTATCTTTCGCGAATCTCAAATTGTATCATGTATTATGAAAGTTAAATATTTTTTTGCTATAATTCAGTTTGTCTTATATGAAAGGCTGATATATAGCATGTAAAATCCGCAAGTTCATCTTGAGCAAAATGGGAATTTAAAGATCACACAATACATTTAAATGTCGCGCTTCGCAGTTCTATCATTACGCCAACGATACGGAATTGATTTTTCTGCACTTCTGAAATGTACCCATAATAAACCTCAGATTTTTTTGTTCATAATATTGTCTAATACGCACAATTCTGTACTTGTGTTAATCAAAAATAAATTATTTCGACCACACTTTCATTAATTGATTTTATGAGTAATTTAATTTTAGTAATTTTCACGCAAATTTTCAAGATAATAAGTACGCTGTTTAATGCTAAAAAACGTGACGTCACAATACACAATCTCGTACAAAATTAATAGAAAACTGTCGTTTTTGACAGTTCGAAAAAAGTATTGAATTTGTTGGCAAGTACCTAATTCATGTATGTGTTTTGTCCTCAGCACGTAGTGACGTGGATGCCGTACGTGTGTATGATAATGGTGCTGTCGTATGTTCTAGTCTACGGGTTCGGGCTCGGACCCATTCCTTACTTTATCGCCTCGGGTGAGTAAAACAAACTAAAACTAATTTTACTAATAGTGTTATGAAACATAGACTCTCTGACTGATAGACTCACTGAAACAGAGGGTCTCTTAAAATTGCACCAGTCTCCAAGGGTTGGGTTATCTATCTAAATCTTTGTGGTCTAACTGTTATCCCCAAGCAATCTGCTAAACTTGAGGACTTTGGTAACCTCCACCTGTAATATATTTGAACGTCAATACTAACAGCAGCACCTGTAGTCAAATGCCATTTAGCGCTTGTCTACATGTAGAATAGAAAACCAAATTATATGGAATTGACGTAAATTTTGACACTTATCAGTGTCATCCCCATACATTTTGATTTCTACTCTGTAGACAAGCGCTAAAGTGGCGTTTGGCTAAAGGCACTGGCTACACAAAATACGATCAAAAAAGTACTTTTCACTAGGATAAATAAACCATCGAAATATGAAAAGCAATTAAAAGGACTCTACAACAATGGTTTTCCTCGTTGTGTTATTGTCCTGTAATTCAGCCGTTTAGGATAACTAACCTAGACATCGACTGCAGCGCCATCTGCCGGACTGATTTGTGAATCTAAACCATGCAGGGCTTACCCAATAAAAAAAAACTAAAGCCCTTTAAAAAAAACCATCTAGGGCGCCACTCAAACGCGTACAGAAAAATTCATTTAGGAGCCGTTTAGGAGGAGTACAATGACACACACGTACAGCAGAATTATATATATAAAGATAGATTTAGCATTAGATTAGTAACTCTTCTCGTTTGCATCCACAGAGATATTCGAGGTGGGTCCCCGCCCTGCGGGTATGGCGTGGGGCTCGCTAGCTAACTGGGGCGGGAATTTCCTCGTCGGCATGTCATTCCCCTCCATGAGGGAGTCCATCGGACCTTACTCCTTCCTCGTCTTCTCCGGCGTCACTGCTGCACTGTTTGTCTTCCAGAAGTAAGTAGATAGATGATGTAGTTTGTAATTTGTTTTTGGAGCTACAAAACAGCGCTTTTACAAGTTAACATTATAATTATAATTTCTAAATGAGATTGGTGAAAAGAAAGGGCATGTTAATAAATAAACATCGGTTTTATCTTTAATAAAGATTATTATTATTGTGTCTATTGTGGTAAAATAATCCTAGTTCGTTCCATGTTATCACAATTTTTTTCTGTAAAATTTGAAAATTTCTAGAATAATCTACGACATACGTGTCGTGTCTTATATATTCTATTACCCTCCACATTAAAGAAGGCAACAGCGGCAATTACCGGTATCTGTACGTTTTAAAAAATTCTAGAATGTTCCACAACATACATATCGTTACACGTCGCTTCAATTCAAGGAAGTAAAGATATTGTTTCAAAACTGTGTACGTTTCGAAAAATTCTAGAAAGTTCTACACGATGTACATTCCGCTCTCCAATTTAAGCAAGTAAACGCCTAAGTATTAACCCCTCGAGCGTCCTTATGAGCACCCGGCGGATCATAAGAAAAAATGCGCCATGCTGCTTTCTCTTTTATAAAATCTATTATTAATGTTTTGTTTTTATTTTGACTGTATTTTTTATTTCTATTGTAATGATCCTTGTTTTCGTGTGCCAATGGCCAAATAAATGCATTTTCTTTCTTTCTTTCGTCAAATGTCACGTGTGCACCCGTTGGATCATAAGGAACGCGGACGCCCGACGATTAAAATGCTAACTAATTTTAAATTTCAATTAATTATCAAGAAATCTCTGTCATTAATTTCCCAAATATATGTAGCGACTGACCAAAAGAGTTCTAATGAAAAGGTACCAAAATACCTTAAAATGCCTTTTTTCCCGCAGAATGTACTTCCCCGAGACGCGAGGTAAGACGCCAACACAGGTGACACAGCTGTGCAGTCGCGGCTTACAGTCCAAGCCACTGCTCGCGTCCGACCTCTCCAGTGTATGACGTCATAAGTCATATCAACACTAGTTTATATCTATACACGAATGATACGTAAGTAGACTGCCATGTTTGTATGTGCATGGAGAAATGAGAATATAGAATGCGAGCTATCGTTCTTTTGCATACCAGCGTGATCAATCTCAATGTCAATCCCATAAAATCTCAATAATTATTCAATGGCAAAACTATACAGTCTTTATCGTAGCTGTTAAAATAGCATTCAGAGTTCGAAATTTGAAGCTAAACTCAATACCATTTAGTTCATTAAATACCCACGCAATACGGGATTCAAGGGCCGCTAGTGTTGCAACTCAAGAGTCCGAAATTTCACAATACCAATGTCGATCGATCGGAATTGAATTCAAGAGTAAGGTCCTAGGTGGCGCTAGTGTGAACCTCTCGTTCATCGTCCAATAGGGAATTAGCTAGTGTCCTACGATTGGACGTTAAATTTTTGACAGCTACAATGATTGGATAACAACTATTCAGGCTAGATTAACGCCATCTATTGAGCATAAAACGGTAGCCCCCATTATTGTTTGATAGAAGTTAAACTGCTATGGGATCGGACAATTGATTATTAGACTCTTACGAAGAATTCCTACGCCTGATATCAATTTCTCGGCTGTTATTGGTTTTTTAAAACTAATTTGTTACTGTATAAAGATGAACAAAAGCAAACAATAATAGTATGTATTGTAATTTTCGTGAGACATACCCGAAGTAAGTAAGCCGAAAACAATAACTTATGTAATAATAATATGTTTTTAACCCATGTTTGCAACCGAAAAAATAAGTAAGCTCATTATACGGCTAAATACAACGCAAGCGTTGTGTCACGCCGGTTTTCTGTTTCTATTATTCGTGCTGGATCATAACTGTCACACGTAAAATATTTGACTCTTTATTCTCATTTCTCATAGTTGTTAGACGAGCTCAAATTGTTAAAGACGGGGAATAGGTATTATAATTTTTATACAAGTTACAAAACGGAATACAAGTAATTTTATATTTTTATAACATCATAACATATCGTATAGTTACAGTTTACAAATACAGAATGGATATATTTATTTATAAGTACTGTATTTTTATAATATGTGTCCAATTATTATACATAGTTGTAATAATAATCAATCCAAATCTTTGTTTCCAACTATTTTCTAATTTTGTACGCTGAAAAAGCCAACATAGCGTTTAAAATTGTTATTTAAGACCCTAATGTTACCTATGTTCACAATTAAATAAATGAAAAATGAATGAAAAAAAAAATGAAATGAAAATTGTACATCTATTGAAATAGAAAAGGAATTATTTTTAGAATCTAACATAGAAAATCTCAGTCAATATTTTTTATTAACTCAAAAATACATTTTCGTCATGGACGCCTTTATAAGATTTAATTCCGACGTAATAACGTAATTGTCTAATTACTCAGATCCATGTTATAAACCTTGTATTCGTAATTTTAATTTTATTAATCTGATGTTGGGTTTCACTTTCACTCGTTTCGTATTTATTTATTTTATTTTGAAATACACCAGTACTGTACATATGTATTATGTATGTATAAGTAAGCTCGATAAACAGGTAAAACAAATCGTAGCGATTTATATGAACAAAAACTGCGTCTAGTCTAATTTTTTTATATTAACTATCTTGATATTCTTGGTTATTGGCAGCCATCTTGATTTTTAGAGTTGTGTATAATCTTTATTTAAAAGCCTTGTTTTATAATATCTGTATAACTGTTATGTACCAGATAGATTAATTAAACGTTGACCGAGTGGTCGCAAGTGCGACTGCCAGGCAAGGGGTTTCGGGTTGGATTCCCGGGTCGACAAAACTATTTTTTTCGGTCGGGTTTTTAAAAAATATCTCATTAGTAACACTGAGCCTGGAACTGTGCCCGGTATATAGCAATAGGCTCGCCTCCTATTACATGGGATTCATAACATAAATTGTAAAAAGTGGGTGTTACATTGTACAGTGGCATAAAGTGCCAAAATGTTCACCTCTGCCTATCCTTTCGGGGATAAAAGGCGTGATGTTATGTTATTAAGAACAGTTGAGCTATCTATCACATAAATGTATCGGATACTTATGAAGGTGGTGAATCAGTCGCTAATGTCGGAATACTGAAACAACGCTACTCAATTTTAAGTCATGCTTAAGTATAGTTCTATCTCTACAAATTCTTTGTTAAATGACAGAGATGGCACGATATTTGAGCTCGACTTAAAATTGAGTAACGTTTCAGTATTCCGGAGCCTTAAAATATCAGTCAATCAGTTAAATCGCAACGATTTGTCAGAGTTTTAGAAGGGTATGAAGAAAGGTAACTAAAATTGCTATTTGAACTGATTCTGTTAAACTATTTAAATTAAATGTAGGTTTATTGCTGTCTCTTTATCTTTTACTTTGCGGGAAAGGGACGAGAATATACAAGACATGCGTATAAGGCCCAGCTGATACCGGCAAAGACACACGCGGCGGAGATACTGAGATTTAATCAATTTAAAAGAAACCTTAACCACTATGTTGTACGGATGAAAACTACATGTCAAAGAACCACGCACCGCTCCCTTCTCATCTTTGGCATGCCGTTGTCATCCGTATAACGTAGTAGTTAAGGTTTCTTTACTACCTCGTTGGTCGAGTGGTTGCAAAAGCGGCTGCAGGGCAAGGGGTCTCGGGTCGGGCAAAGTATTACTGTTTTTTTTTAATCTCAGTAGTAGCACGGAGCCTGGAACTGTGCCCGGTATATGGTAACAGCCTCACCCTCTATTACATGGGAGTCATAACATAAATAGTGAATAGTGGGTGTTACATTACGTGCCGTAATGTGCACCTCCGTCTACCCCGTCGGGGACAAAAAGGCGTGATGTTATGTTTTCTTTTAAATTGATTTATTCTTAGCATCTTCGCCGCGCCTCCGCTGGTATGCGCTGGGCCTAAAATGTTTATCTCCCTTTCTCTCTCTACGTGTTAGTAAGAGATAGCAATAGTTTTGACTAATGTGTGCACGGTGCAATTTGAATGTTTTGTATTTTAATAATGTAAGTGCACTTTGACTATATTTCTATAGTGAAGTAAAGACAAGAGGTTAGGTTACTTAGTTTTTGTATTTTGGTTAATAATACTGCATTAATATTAGTTCTGGGTGTTGTAGATGGCGCCACAGAAGAAAATGGCTGCGTCTGATGTAGTTTTTATATTATGGGTGATATGTTTTTTCAAAAGTAAACAGCTTGTATTATTGTGCTTATTTTCTAGAAATATTTTTTACAAGTATTGTGTGATTAATTAATATGAATGCAGTATTATGGTGCTAGGAACAAATTAACTATAAGCTCTGAAGAATATAGTTTTGCATACTTTTTTCATCTGTAATCTGGTTGGAGCTCGCAATATGGCCGAAGTCAAGATACCGTCAAGTGAAAACTACCGTAATAGTAATTAATTCTTACAGGTTGGTAATCTATTTTAATATAGAATCAATGCTGCCTCGATGGCTGAGTGGTCACAAGTGCGACTGCAGGGCATGGGGTCTCGGGTTCGATTCCCGGGTCGAGCAAACTATAACAGGGGTTTAAAAAAAATCTCAGTAGTAGAACGCAGTCTGGAATTGTGCCTGGTATATGGCAATACGCTCATCCCTTATAACATCCCCATAAATAGTGAAGAGGGGGTGCTAATTGTACAGTGGCATAATGTGCACCTCAGCCTACCCCTTCGGCGATAAAAGGCGTGATGTTAAGTTATGTTACTCAACGCTTTTTTAAACAAAGTACACAATATAGAAAGATGTTTGAAATATGCTAGATGTTTCTCTTTGTAATTTTGAAATCATTATCTCTGGTTAGCCTCTTATCTGTTGAAACACTGGCTCCCGGTATAAACCACATTATACCCGCAATTTTCAACAGACAAGAAGATAGTTTTTGTTTATCGGTACTTAACTTCGGTCTGGCATTCGTCTACAAGACGTTTTAAAAGTACAAAATACGTAGAAGCAGTAAGCGTTTCCGTACCGACGAAATTCGGACCTCCTATTGTATGAGACTCGGTGAAAAGTAGGTATTATATAAAGTATATGTAATATTATGCACAAGAATGTGCGCCTCTGCCTATCCTTTCAGCGATACAAGGCAAGGGAAGTACTAATTAACTGATTAATTGAAACTTTACTTAAGGACATGTTTTATCGTTGGTACGGAACCCAAATTGCGAGTTAGAAACCGAATAGGGACAGTTTTTACTTATAAATCTTTTATTTACAAATGATTCAATTGATTTTGAACTCTAAGTTATTGTAATAAGACAGAAAATTTGCTGAAGTGTCTTAAAATTTCGCACAAAATCTTTTTAGGCATTAATTACTAATATATTATAACGTCCATCAGTTGGTGTCTTTGTAATATTTACAATTTTAAATTAAAACATCACTTGTAGCGCATAATTTATATATAAATAGAATTTTAAGGAATTATTTTGTTGTGTAATTATTTATAATTAATTGTAATTATAAGTTTGAGGGGAATGTAAGCTCCAATCGTATGTGTATGATATTTTATTGTGCATTTTTACAATAAACACTCAAGTACCATATTTTTTCGTTTTATTGTGTAGTTTTAATTGATATTAAATATTATATGAAAAAGTTTTTAAGTTATCGTTAGTTCAGTAGATTTAATTTTGTGTGACTGTTGTGCCTTGGATTAGCGATCTTAAAATATTGATTGGTTGTAATCGGTTGTAATAGTAAACTCTGACCTTATAAAAAGACGGGGTATGAAGTCGTTTTTTTAACGTAGTTTATAATTTACACGATAGGTATTCTATCAACAAAAATCATAGGTAGATAACAAAACAAAAAATGAAACGAGAAACGTTTTAACAAAATGATTTATTGTCGTAACACGATTAAAACATATGCTTAAACCAATTAGAACATTAGTCATAAATATAACATGAACGCCCAGAATAAAAAGGGTAAAGTTAAGGCATAAATACTATGATTAGATATTTCTTCAATAATATACTACTTTGTACAGATAACTACATATTACATAAACATGATCATTGAAAAAATAACGCTTAAAAATGAGCAACAAACGAGTAGCAAGATATGCCAAAAATATACTCAAAATTATTAAAAATATTTTATAAGTACGTGTTCAATTAAGCTATTTTTTTTGTATTATCTATGGAAGCAACATAGCTAACGGCCCGTCTGACTGAACGGTCACTATAGCTTATATGCACTGGCAACACCAGAGGCATCACGAGTGTGTTGCCAACCACGAAAAATTTTAATTATACCATTTTCTAAATATTTTGAAGATTATGGTTGAAAAGTGTTACAAGATTGTGTGATGTAGCCATATATTAACTCTACTATATACTACTCAAACGCAAATTGTATTTAAGAGGTATGTCAGCTACGTAAGTAGTCATCAATCTCTTTAAGCTTATCCCAACACATCAGTAGGATCACTGTGTGAGGACCTAGCCGTATATAGTTTGCAGTGAGACCCTTGTACAACGAGCGTGGACCTTCGTATCTAATCATCTTGTAGCCGCAGTCAATCATACCTTTGTATAAGGTACCTTTGTTGTTGGCGTCTACCGCTGAAAGCAAATATTGTTTTATTAGATTTCTTATGTAATCGGTTCGAATTTATGTGAGAGGATGGTGTGCTTACGACTACTGAGTAGGTAATCTGGATTTTAGTCTGAACACCTTTTTTATTATTTAGATTTATTTAGGGTTTTTGGTTAAAATTAACATATCAAACCCATTGTTCCTATGGATGGTCTGAATACATATAACTGGTTTTTAACCGACTTCAAAAAAAGGAAGAGGTTCTCAATTCGACCGTATATATGGTTTTTTTAACATTGTTGTTATGACAAAACGTAAGTTTAATTTGAAAATAATACAAAAATTATAGCTTTAGGTCATATCTTCATCCACGAAAATACAGAATTCGTCTATCCGAATGGATAATTTTGTTTAAACCACCATTAAATGTTTATTTACTGAGAACAGAGGCCTTAGTACGAGTTTCTTTTACGTTTAAAGTAATCGTAACGAGTACGCGTTCGGCGCTCTGATTGGTTGGTTCATTGGCGCCGGCCAATCAGTGCGCCGAACGCGTTCTCGTTTCGAATACTTTAAACGTAAAACAAACTCGTACTAAGGTCTCAGAAAATGACGTCCTTTTCGCATTTCTAAACAGAAGTCTTAACTTACGTTGATTACACAGCCTGGTAGCGATGACGTCGAATGGGTTCAAGCAGAGCGTCATGACGATTCCTCCAAGATTGGCTCCGAAGAAGGACAGCATCAAGGGGTACTGGGTGAACCAGTTGTGTGCTCGCAACCACTCCTTCGCGTAAGTGAAGCTTAGGATTTGAGACGCGCTGCCCGCCATGCCGCGAGGTATTTGTGGACCCACCCCTCGGAATAAACCTGGAATTGGCATTAAAAGAAGGTAATTAGTCCTATGTAATATGGGACAAGCCTATAACTGTACCGTGGGCATCATTCTATATTCTATTACTTTTTTGGATGGGGGGGAAATCATCCAAGGACTTCCCGCCTTAGGTGACGCGAGAGGGAGTGTCAGACTTACTGACTAAAATCACCCCGTTCCTCGCTCTGCTCACCAAAAATATTTAATAATACTCGTGCTTTGTTTAAATTGAATTGTTCGGCAGCACGCCTTGATGGGGTGACTTTCACTAAAGGTTTTAGAAGGACATTTATAAAGGAGCTCAGTGACGGGGGGCCTAAGTTCAGCAGTAAACAAATTGTTCAAAATAATCTTTATTATGATCGTGGAAGATGCTCTGTGATATCAAACTACTTTCCTAAGATATAAGCGAACACTTATGAGCTTTTTACCTTTAAACCCTTCGTTTCTAAATATTTCAATAAGGGCGCCACTAGTGCTGGTGCCTTTATGCTGATGTCCTACTGCTATGGCTTTGGCTGCCTGAGCCTGTAACCTAGTCTTCACCAGGTAGAACGGAGTACCAGCTATGGAGCCGAGGGCCCCGCCAACACCCGCGACTCCTGCACCCTTGAGCAATGATGTAGCCCCACTAGCATCTTTTAATATACCCCTTCTTTCTGCCATTCGGAAGGAGCCTAATCTAAAAAAAACGAGTTTTTAATAAATAGATAATAATAATTTGAGGGACCAACACAATAAGTCTTCAATGAATTTTAGATTTCTAAGCGAACTCACCTAAATATGTTCAAAAAGAATTGAAACCCGAGCATAGCCGTCAATCCACGTTGTAGGGCACCAAGTCCTTCGTTTTTGCCCACGACGAATATAGCATGAGGAACATTTTTATAAAACACGGTGTGTGTGCCCCTTGCCTTCAATTCCCCCTGCAGCTGCAACCTAGTCTTCACCACTTCGATGGGGTTTGTGAACATGGAGGCGAACATAGCTGATGTTCCTCCCATCAGCAGATCCGTGACGTCACGGTTTAAGCTGCGGGATTTTTTTATCTGTGCCTCTTTCGCCTTCGTCATTTTGTTAGTCTGTGGAAGAAATTTTATTGGTTAGTTTACGTTGCTCTAACGGTCGAAATGCACTCGAGGCAGGAGATCGCAGCCTCTTAGGGCTGCTACGTGGTGGGACCTGTCGCAATATAGCGGTAGGTCGAGGCCTACCGGATGCGGCGTAATCGCAAGGGCGTCCCGGGTCACGGCCACAAGAAGAGAAAGAAGTCCACGGTGGTTTTAGCCGGTAAGAGTCCTCCGAGAGACAACCCCCGTCGTCTCCACGCCGTGGAAAGTCCATGTTATAAATAAAAAACGGTCGAAATTATGAGTCATATTCCAAAACCTGTGGATTGATCAAAGTATTGATAGAAACTCCACACAACTTTTTTATTAAACCGATCTTTGTAAAAAGATTTTGGATTGAGACTTTGAAATGGGTTATTAATGTCAGCCGAAGGTATATAGTACCTAGGATTTAATATCCACTATATTACTATACCTACTATTCAAAGTATTAATATACTATTCAGAGTATTACTGTTCTATTAAGAGTATTTCTGTACTATTCAGATTATAGTAATATAGAGGGCAAGAGTGAATGCTACTTTATACGAATTATCGTTTTTATAATAAGTCGTTGGTGGACGCCTATGTTCTTGCACCTGTGCACGTCTTGTAGCTTACCGTGATGGAGAATCTTAAAGATATGAGTTACAAAATTGACATGACACTCCGCCATTGAAGTGTCAATTACTCGCGCACGATTTTGTGACTGTTATGAACCGAATTTGGATTAACTTTGTTTTGAAATCTAGTCATCTGAATGACTATATAGCCTCATGCGCCTAGATTTTGACGCGTTATTTTAAGTTGCTATTCAATGCACAATAATTATATAAATATCCCAATGCTTCAATGTTACGGATACTAGAAAAGCGTTTAGGGACATTATTATACTTATAGAATTGGACTTTTAAAATATATCAGTAAATGGTATCGTTAATAAAACTCAGGGTAAAACAATTTAAAACTTTATTGCTATTACATAAAGATAAAATTCTCTAATTGCACCAATTATCACTATTATGCTAACAGTTAACACGATTAATTAATTATACATTTCTCTACTATATTTACTTATTGCTAACAATACAAAAAAATTAGGCACTGAGATTTAATGCTTAGGATACACAAATAACTTGCATTAAAAGAAAAACAAAAAATAACAAAAAAACGAGTTGCCACATAACAAAAATTACTAAATAATCAACTGGCAACACCTAAACAATGTCAAATTTAATTTAAAATAATACAAATATTGTACTACAGTTTACAATTAAATGCTATAATTAAAAATACTAAGAAATAAACTTAAAATGCTTGTATAAAGGTATTTATTTGCAATAATACTGAGATGCGCTGTTAAGGGAGGTTATGAGTTCAGGTACTAAAATGGGGATATTTTCAAATGAAGTGGCTACCAACCTACTCCAATGTGTCATTGTTACATGTATGTTTAGTCTGTACTAACATCAGTAATTAGTAAGTAGTGGCCCCCTCACTATAATGTGTTATATAAGGTAGGACACTCATTATTAACGTTGTAACCCGTCATACTCAGTGTGTGTACACGTCGTGCGCCCTGCACATTATTGTAATAAATCCAAGTAAAATAAATCCGACTATAATTTCATAATCCACCAACATAACAGTCATTACATTTTCTGGTTTATATCCAAAAGATAAAGTTGACAATTTGACACAAAAGAGTAGGTTGTATTGCTGCCCACTATATCTCATATTTCTACAATGTATAGAAATAGGATCATTTGATTCATAAATAAATGATATTTTGGTTAATTATTAAAATGTAATTAATTTAATATGTGAAAAGGATATGAATTACTTATACTAAGTGAAAATAATTCTAACTTGAATGGATAATTAAACTTGCAAGTAGCAGTGTTCGAGATGTTAAAACTTAAAAAGACGAATATCTTAGGGTTGAGTTACTGTGAACGAATTCAAAAGAAGTTTAAATAAGTATAATTTTTTTTAGTTAACTTTGCAAATCATATGATAAAAATTATACCAAAAGTCCTAGGTCAAAAATTCTTCGCACTCTACTAAAATAATATCAACAAGTATGGTTGGCTTGTTATTGCACTCAACGAGATTCAACAGGTAAAGCTTTAATATCCGATATCAAAACTAAAAACCGAGAACCAATAAATAATAAACAAAACTGAGCCTTATTTCCATGAGCCATAAAATACACATAGGTACTGTCGTAAAATATTTTATAAGAACCGAAAATCGGGAACGGACAAACAGTACACGAAATTGAGCTGTAAACCGTGAGTAATAAAGTCTAAATTAAAAAATTCAACCTAAAAAATCTGAAAAACCGGGAATCGACATAACAATACACAAAATTGAGCCATATATCCATAAGCAATAAAGTCTAATTTGAATAAAAATCTACATACCAATGATGTCCTCGTATAAAACTAAGATCACTGATTGCACACGAAGGAGTGACGTCATACGTCAGTAGCGTGCGGAAGACAGTTATACAATATCAATGTTTATCAAACATTACCTTATCACGTAATATATTATGACATTAGCGATAATAGAAACCACACAGATAGTAAAAACTTCAGTATAAGTGAGTAATTCACATCTTTAGTTAGCGCTTGCCAACAGGGTGCTTACTCTGAGAACCTAACGGGTAACCGGGGCTCCGGCTCGACGTGCAGGAGAAGGAACGGGGTGGTTTTTAGTCAGTAAGAGTCAGACACTCCCTCCCGCCTCACCCAGGCGGGAGCAGCTATTCGATGATTTTCCCCCCTTAAAAAAACTCTTGAAACCAATCTCAATGTCAATGCAATTTCAATCCAATAAAATAATACGGAATATAAAACCGAACTCAATATCATTTAGTTCATGAAATATCCACGCAATACGGATGCAAAAGGCGCTAGTGTTACAACTCAAGAGTACGAAATTTCACAATGTCAATGTCGATCGATCGGAATTGGATTCAAGAGTAAGCACCCTGATCTCTTTGAACATAATATTGATGATAGAGCTTTAAAATGGCCTTTCAAATTATTTTAATCATGCCTTTCACTTGGAGTATGGATAATAGGGTACCTACATGACACATTTTTTTTTATATTTGATGGGTCGACGTTTGACCACTATCTCGCCTGGTGGTAAGCGATGATGCGGTCTACGAAGGAGCACGTCGTTCCATAAGCAACCTATTCATTCGGGCCTTGAAGATTATTTTAACATTTATTTTAACACCCAACTGATAAACTGGTAGATTATTTAAAAACATTACCACGTATTTTTTATTTTCTTACGGAAACGAATACTTTCGACGATATATTGATTTGAAATATCGCGTGACGTCACTTTTGTGTACGTTTTATACTCAAAAACTTAACTCCCGCTCCAAAAACTTCTCTTTAAAATACTCTTATTGCTCATTTATTTACACTTGATAACAAAGAGCCACCGTTTTTTCTTCTTCAATTCTTGATATACTATTAGCTCATACAAGTATTTTATTAATTAGTAACGTCGTATAAAAGGCAAGGCAATTCAATTACGATCAAAATGAGTCTATTTTGTTGTAAAAGAAATTTTTTTTTTAAAGTTATTGAAGGTTTTATAAAATAAAAAATACTGGTGTCTCCATTTCTTTGTTCCCACCGAAGTGTATATTGAAATAAGTACAAAACTTCCCCTATGCTGGTTGAAATAAGGTTTAATGTGATGTGACGAATGAAAGCTCACAAATAACACGTTAAGACGATACATACACAAAGAAACAAGCCATTCTACGCATTAATAAAAATAAATTAATAACTCAAAAAATAAATACGAAACCAATACAACATTGTAACGACTATTTTAAATTAAATAAATATAAATCTCACTTTTCTATTGCCTCGAGGCGAGGCACGAAGGCTTCTATACAACCTCAACCACTATAAAATAAAAGACTATGCGTGAAGTTTAATACTTTTTTGCAGATCTTTTAGCATATCCCAGAAAACTAATAGAAGCACTGTATGAGGTGCTTGGCGAAGGTAAGAGGGACCCATGCCTTTGCAAAAGGCCAATAGGCCTTCCGCCTTGACGATTTTTCGCGCGCAATCGGCTATGCCCGCGTACATAACCCCTCGGCCGCTTGCGTCAACAGCTGAAACAAATATTTAGTTTTTAAAATTTTGATAACCTATATTTTATTATGATATTAATTTTATGTGTTTTTGGTAAACATGGTTACTGTACTGTAAGTATTTATTCCATTTAAGCAAAAGGCACAAGTGTATATTCATTTTAGTATTTTATTTTGTTTTTTTTTTAAAAAAAACGTTGCCCTACACTAGGATTATCTCCTGTGTCGTGGGTACGTTTACAAACATACAAGTTCACATACACATGCCACCCAGACCCGAAACAACAATTTGTGGATCACACGTGTTGTTCCGTGCGGGAATCGAACCCGCGACACGTAAAACCCTCTTTTCATTATTTTATGTTATGAGTCCCATGTAATAGGGGGTGAGCCTATTGCCATATACCGGGCACATTTCCAGACTCCGTGCTACTACTGAGATTTTTGAAACAACCCAGTAATACTTTGCCAGACCCGGGAATCGAACCCGAGACCCCTTGCCCGGCAGTCGCACTTGCGCGACCACTCGGCCAACGAGGCAGTCCTCGGTTACCAAAATACTCAGAAAATAAAGCTTGCCATAGTAAAAATATCTGCAAGTGATACCTTGATTATAAAGCCGGGTCATGATGACATCCATGGGGTTCAGGAACACAGTCTTCACCAACGCTCCTATATTGCTCGCTACGAAAGCTGACAGATACTTGGATTGTTGAAACAGATTGTTATTGTCCATCCATTCTTTACAGCTGTGGAAGTAAGATAAACCACTTTGAGCAAACTGGCGAAGAAAGTTATGATGATCTTTAGCAGTGGCGTAGCGTGGCATGGGGGGGGGGCGTATAAAAATTTGTTTGGGGCCCTTGAAGGGTAAACATTTCTCATAAGAGATTTTGTACATGTTCAGGCAACTCCCTCTGCCCTAATTAGCGGACCTTAATTACTTTTATTTTTCTTAAGTCTCTGCCAACCTTTGAACGCATGCTTTACGTGGGTAAAAATGGTTTTTTTTTTTAGTTTTGTGATTACTGAAATAGAATAAACATTGGGAAGATTTTATTAATTTTTACTTAGGCACGTTGGGGGCCCCTGTAGTCCGGGGGCCCCGTATAATTGATACGGCAGATACGGCGCTAGCTACGCCCCTGATCTTTAGACTTCCGAATTTACACAAAAAAATCTATAAAATAGGTACTTTGATCTTATGTGACTGAAATCATGTGAGTTGTATGGGTATATCAGGATTGCGGAAACTATACAAGTATGGCGCCTATCATTTTTATATTATGGGAATAAATTTTGTCACAATATTATGATACAAGAAAATCTCATACATAACATCACGCCTTTTATCCCCGAAGGGGTAGACAGAGGTGCACATTATACTACTGTACAATGTAATACCCACTTTTCACTATTTATGTTATGAGTCCCATGTAATAGGAGGTGAGCCTATTGCCATATACCGGGCACAATTCCAGACTCCGTGCTACTACTGACAATATTTAAAAAACCCAGTAATACTTTGCCCGACCTGGGAATCGAACCCAAGACCCCTTGCCCGGCAGTCGCAATTGCGACTACTCGGCCAACAAGGCAGTCTCTCAGTAAAAAATCTCAATCATAGAAATAACCTAATTGGATCTACTAACATTCACGTATGTGGATATGAACATATAAAATATCTTATAAACAGTTACCTAACAATCTTGCTGACAGGAATAACAAAATATTATAATTGTTGTATGATAAGATTGACCTTACAACTTTAGACCCGTAAACTGTCATAAAAATATTTTTGAACTGCAAAGAACCGGCTGAATTTGGAACGAGCGCAAAATTGCTTGAGTTTTACTAAACAAATGTTTTTTTTTTCTACAACAGCTTATCTTTGACAATTACCTAACTATAAATATAACATCAAACTTAATATTACACACAGTCATAGTTATCATCATCATGTCATCCATATTACAAAATATCACCGTTGTATTAGGAGGGCAAATACGATTTCTAGCTTTGACGGATAGCTTCGAAAATTTCGAACAAAATGATAGTATGCCCTCCACAGAAAACATTTTCTAAACGCAATATCGAAACAAACAAGGTAATGAAGAAAAAAATAACAAATCGCCATTTCACAGCACGAAAGATTTTTCGCGTACATAATTAATAAAAAGTATTATCACTACAATTATGCCACTGTCATTAAAAATAAATAAGACAAGGCTACCATTGACGCAAGAGGGCGTTGTCTAGCGATGTCACGGAGATAGTGGAGATAAAAAAGGCGTGTCGAGAAATTTCATCAGCTGTTACTACTACATTATTACTACGCTATGACGTTTTTGTTATCAGAGCTTTAGCAATCTGTTCTAAAAAACTGAGGTCAATTCTATTTTTAGAACTGTGGTTTTATGACGACAGTACCCTGCCCTCCTAATTTTCCATTTACGTTTAAATATTGATGTCAGAAACAAACATGATTAACAGTAAATTAATAGTAACAAATACTTTTAAGGGTAGACATTAGTGGACATCTTGTGGCTGATACGACGGTGATGAAATACATTTAATAATAGACTTTTCAAATTCGTAAATGTCCGATTATGAAAAATCCACAACATTTGTTCATACAACAGTAGTCGATAAACATCAGAAATAATGCCTATAATGGAGTTAGAGGAGATTGGTCACCGGTGACTGCTGTAGGATTGACCAGTTAAGACTATTACTTAGTTTTAAAATAAATACAATAAAATTACTTACACAGCAAAAGAAGCAATTTGAGATGCAGATCCAATGGAATTCCTCATCATCATTCCATGGGCACCTCTCCACAATCCAGATAAACCATTCTTGGTGTAGATTTTCTGAAAAGCATACATCATGCCTGGATGGGCATGCTGAGTGCCTACTGCTATCTTCTGTGAGGAGTAGGACATCAGCTGGGTCTTCACCAGCTGTAGTGGACTACCACACAGTCCTCCACACATCCCTGACACACAGCCAAAGAAGAGACTGTTCACAAATTGTGTGTTGTTGTCCTTATCCCTAAGGAAGCCATAGTTGTCCGCTTGTTGGTAGATGCCTAATCTAAAATAATAATAATAGTATTGGTTAATTTAGTAAGTAAAAGTATGTTAATATTTTTTTTAAATATTTATTTGCAGTATGTACTTTACAAGTAATTTGTTTTAATTCACTTGGTTTTTACTTAGAATATTTAATATTAATAAAAAAATGCAATAAAATAAAACATACTAAATTAAGACTATAAACAACCTTTCATGCCCGTTAAAATCTCAATCACACAACCCCATTGAATAAAAAAACCAAACCACAAACAAAAACCACAAAACAGCTTACCTTACCCCATTGACAACTAGTTGGAACCACAGAGCTGGCACTAGTCCTTTCTGCAAAGCGGCAATGCCATCATGTTTCACTATATTAAACATTGCATGTGGCACATTTTTATAATGGACCGCATGTTTTCCCCGAGCTCTGAGCTCTCCTTGCAACTGCATACGAGTCTTGACAACATCAAACGGGTTGCTGAAAAACCCCGCTCCAACTCCTGCCAGGCCTCCCACAACGAAGTCCATTGTGCTACGAAAAGTAAGTTTCCTTCAGCCTTTTTTCCTAACTATTATAGTATAATAGCGGTTCTCAACGTCATAGGTTTTTTAAAATTTTATTTATTAATATCACTACTTATACAGACTGCTCTATTTGATAAATGACTAGTTCATGCAATCTTATATACATCTAAAAGCTAGTGGTTGAATAAATAACTGGAAAATTAAACAAAGCATGCTGATTAATATTTGTTTATCTGATAAAATTGTGTTGAAGTATTAATTATGTTAATTTTGCACACCACTCTATGGTTTCATAATTTCACACATAATTTAGAATGCCACGACCCAAAAATTATAACATAACATGACACTGAATCATTTTCAGAGAAATTGTGACCAAAAGGGCCATTAAAAGTTAAAAGTAGAAAGTTGGAAGGAGCTAATAGAAGTTGGTATTAAAAGATTGAAAAGGCTCTTTTGAAAGAATAAAAAGGGACTTGAAAATTTCCAGTCCTTTAGCGATAGTGGTCAAATGTCGGTCCATCAAATATGTATATAAAAAAGGTAAATTTAAAACATTTCATTTAGTAAGAGAAGTAAGATACCACCAGGCGAGATAGTGGTAGATAGTGGCCCATCAAATATAAAAAAAAAGATTACTAGATTGAGACAGGCTCATTAAATGCCATGGGTCAAGTTATGAGACCCAACTTGAGAAAATTTCCAATAAGACCAACCTAATGTTTTGAGTAGTAGAGACAACCCATGGCAGAGGGTCAAATGAAATTATAAGTGTTGGGAGTGTTTGAAATAAAAAAAATGAAATATAAAAAAAATGCTATGTATTTTTTGAGTGTAAATATTTTTCCAACACAACTAAGCCCAATTTTAAGATTAAAAACCCAAATGAATTAATATTCTATAAATGAGATATGGGTATTAAATTAAGTAAAACAATAAAATCAAATACAAACCATACCTTATGTAAATCATTTTTTATTATACACACAAATATTTTAATATCTCTATTGGAACTAAAATAAAACACCACACACACACACAATAAAACCAATTTAAAAAAAATAATGTTCTTATTCTTTTTTTTAATAAAAAAAATGTTTTGTACAAGGCAACAGTATTTGTAAAAGAACTCAGGTTTAACGATTCAAGATAAGTGTTACAAAACTTATTTATTATTTTTAGTTAATTAATGATTTTGTTGTCACAGAGAAATAGTGTTGTTTTCCCGCCACAGCTATTAGGAATGATTATATTCATGAGCCTTAACAATACCCATTTAGTTCGGTCAATAGGTCGTCTCTTCTCATGATATGAGCAATGTTCAATCACAGACTATTTATCAAGTATGATATTGTCAGAAAACAATAACACAATATTCTCTTAGATTATTTTTTTATTTTCTTTGCGTTATTTTCTTGTATGAACCACCAGTTAGAGAGGAAATTAAAAGTTTTATAAAACCAATAATTTTTTTTTTTTTGTGATGTGATGATTTGTAATCCTGTAGTCAACAATGTAATAGATTTGGTACAATTTGACTGAAAAATGTGATATAACAACTCATTAAATGTTTATTAACCCACATGCGTCACAGAAAGTACATTTAAATACTCTTTTTTATAAGAAATGCGCACACTTACCTAGGTAGTCGCGGTGTTGGTTAGAATCAGATGTAGTCATCTAACGTTTCCTATTATTAATAAATAGGTCAACATCATGGGCCGCCGTGAAATAGACTACGTGACGGTAAACTTATTTGTAACACTTAAAACTTCTATTTCTAATTTTCTATGATTTCGTAATACACTGAAATTTTTCCCAACATGATCAAATTGTCAAATTTTGAAATTGACAGAATACATCAGCTGATCTTAAGTAGCGTTCACTTATTAGGTACTAAAAATAGAAACGTTCGTTTTAAACCAACCAATATAAATTCTAAAAATTTAGTATATTCTTGAGGAATCGGGATCATATTAAGATATATTTAAGATATATTAGCTGACAGATCACGTAATTATCACGAGGTTTGTAATGCTTTGCCATTATTCCAGTATTCTTTTTTTGCAAACTACTATATTATAGTAATACCTATAGTAATTCCAGCGTTCCAGTGTCTAGCCTTCATTTTCCTGTGTAAGGCTTATACAACGGTTAGCACTGAGGCCCTACCTGTGCTCACGGGCGTGCTTCCGGTCGATCTTGAGGTGCAGCGATGTGCTGCTATGTACTACAATGCGAGACCTAATTTGTCAGCAAGCTTTCTAGCACAACGTGTTTGAAATAAAATTGCTAGATTGTTTAAGCCATTAACGGGCGTTTGGGGCGAGCTTATAACTGAATGGCAGTGTAGATGGGAATCTTCCATTAAGGGTCGCCACCAATCAGTTCTTCCCAATTGTGCATGAGCGGCTGGAGAGGATATGGTTGGAGGTGGATCACTGTGTTGCCCTATTTCTTACTGGCTGCGGCAACTTTAAAAGCAAATTGTTCTCATTTAAACTTGTTGATTCACCATGGTGCCAATGTTCGACAGCGGAGCTGCAATACGAGCAGTCCGCCCATCACATACTCTGGGAGTGTGATCTCTGGCAGTATGAATGTAACCCTATGTTATATAATTTAATTGTTTCGTCAGGCGTAGCTTATTGTACGGACCTTGTGGAATCTAGAACAAATTTCCGTGCGTTCAGCCGTTTTTGCCATACCTATTATTGGAAGCAAGTATAACAGCTCACACATAGGACCTACTTAGATTTTAGTCAAATTTCCGTGGTGCTTGGCGACTGGGCTTCACCCAGTTGTACAGTCTTTTTTTGTGCCTTTAGGCTTAATTCACTTTGTCTGCTGCAGTAATTCACCGAGGGAAGTGGAAACTATCGTTTTTTTTCTTCTCCTCTTATAATATCTTCTGATTCACTTAGTTGCGGGAACCACGACAGTTATTCATCTTCCTGGGACGCGCCGGACTTCAGCGTTCCGGTGTTTTCATGGTTGTATCTACTGTAGATCCTGGCTTACAGGAGTTGTAGCGTTTTTGGGAGGTTGTGGCAGGCTTGTCCCATTTAAACAAAAATACTATAGTAGATTTTTCGCTGACGTTTGGCCACTCTCTTTCTTGATGTTAAGCGATGTTACTGCCTAGCTTATAATGCAAAACGTATGGTATCAGCATCCTATTTACTTGAGACTTACAACGTATAGGTAGGTACACGCTTTATACAGTAAAATTTCATATTTTAAAATAAAGGCCACACCACATTAGGCGCGACTGCAGTATGCCCGTCGCGAAACTTGCAACAAACCCTACTTACAACATAAATATAATAATCAGTGACCCGCAACAATAATTTGTTGATCACACAAAAAGTAGCCCCATGCGAGAAATGAATGTTGTACAGCAACCGGTAGTCCAACCACCGAGTCAACCTTGCAACCACAAACGATTGTAAATAACCATAATTTGTTGCTCAAGCGTTGGTTATTTTTGTTATCAAAGAGATTTTATGCACTATAGATTGATTCTGTTAATGATTTATTTATCTGGCCGAAAAAAAGATTAATGAAAATGCTACCCGTCAAAGTTATCGACCAAACATTATAAACAACCTGATTACTACCAAAATTTTAACTTGAAATTAAATTTTTGTGTTGTAAATATAACGTACACAATATAAGCAACCCATTCATATAATGTATTATACATGAAATTATAATATAAAACTATAAAAATAAAAGAATGGCTGTAAAAAATGCAATGTTTATATTTGAGGTAGTGGTGGAAAGTATTAAAACTATGGTAGAAAGTCGAATCTTAGTTATAAAGGGTGATTTCGCAAATATATTCTCACTCGAACTGAAAGATCCGAAGCAAACGCACATAGTGATGCCAGAACCACTTCCTTTACCTCCAGAGCCAGTTGGAAAAAAAGGCAAGAAAAAGAAGAAAAAGAAACCTAAACCGAAGAAAAAAGGAAAAAAGGGCAAAAAGGGTAAAAAGGGTGTAATTGAATTGCCACCACCAGAACCAGAAATACACGTAGGGCAGTCTGTTTTATTTGCCAGCACTGCAGAATTGTTAATACAAAATATGAAGAAATGTCCTTTGGAAATATCATTGTGGAGTAAGGACGAAAATATAGCCTTTATCGGCATCACTCGCATAAATTGGGATCCTATATTTATAAAATTTTTAGAAGATATCATGAATTGTCAAGAACCTCCTCCTGTTACTTTAAAAGAAGAATATAACATATTTGAAGAAGGCAAAGCAAAACTTATGGCAAAGATAACCATTCAAGTGAAACTGTCACACTTGAACGAGAAAGTTACAACGGCATTCCGAACATTGTCTGAAGACGCAAATGTTAGAAAATGTCTCTATACTGGAATTAATTCCAAGACAACATCTTTTATGTGCACCTTAAAAACGTCAGAAGACCTTTACATTGAAAATAGTGGTAAAGTAGAAAGCCAGTTTGTAGTAGACAAACCGAAACCTACAAAAATTAATTATGCTGATTATAAAAATGCTCCTGCAGCTAATCTTACGTTCTTTGACGAGAATGATTACTGTTGCCTTGGTCATGCGGATAAACCTCCTGAATCCAAATATAAATCTCCTGAGACTTGTCCTGACATTGATTTCATAATCGATTACGTGAGGAAGATTATTGTGTCTTGCAATGATAATATGAGGATGTTAACACCTCGCCCTACAATAACCCCAAGGGTGAAAGCGACGGACATTGACAGATTTTGTTATTGCCGAGAAACAACGTGGCCTGAGGGAGCATTGGCTGAACGATTTAAACACGAGGCACAAAGTGCTCCGTGCCCCATTTGTATTGATCGTGGTAAAAAACCTAAGGTTCCACGTGGTGATACATTCGATATTGCTAATATTCGAGGTCCATGCGGTAAACCAGAATGTAGAATTGCAAGGGATATAAGGGCTTACATTGAAAACCTCGTTGACGAGGACAATGTAGAATTTAATCTCCAGGATCTTATAGGGCCCTGTGGCAGTAAAAAATGTACATTAGTGTCACAGATTCAAGACTTTTTGCGGCATGAAGGTGCCTTTACCCACGCAGCAACACTCGAAGGAACATCTACACAATGCGGTTGTTTAGAAAAAATGAGACAATCACTTACTAGGAGATCATCATGTGAATCCATTTGTAGTAAGGATTGTGAAAATGCTTCCAGTGAAGGAACTATATGCGATGGACAAGGATGTCCTTTCAAGAAACCAGAAAATAAAGTATATGACGTATATTATTTCACAGTCGAATATGATTTCGAACATAACAATAACAAAAGTCCTGAAAGTAAAAGTCCTGAAAGTAAAAGTCCTGGAAATAAAAGTCCCGAAAGTAAAAGTCCTGGAAATAAAAGTCCTGGAAATAAAAGTCCTGGAAATAAAAGTCCTGAAAATAAAAGCACTGATGGTAATGAATCTGACGGCAAATCGTCTAAGTCGAAATATAAATTCTGTGGTCCGGAATGTCCAAGTAGAAAAGATTCTCTCTCAAAAATTACCTGCTCTAAAACCGTGTGCTCTACTGACAATGCTAAAAATAACGATCCGGAATCTTCACCTTGCACCACACCAGTATGTACTCAAGCACATGAATTTCCTCCCAGTCCAGCAGACAGTAACATAGAAATGAAATTTGATGAAATTCGTAATCCTTGTTGTGTAAAGTCTTGCGATGTAGTTGATAGGATAAAGGAATTTATCGCTGATGGGATGACAAAGAAGTGGACTAGTGAACCATGCGCTGTAGGAGATTTAGAAGATAAGGAACCAGATCCATGCTATTGTGACTGTGTTTGCACATTCAAGTTTTCGAATAAAACTACTTATTGTTCTGTTTGCGGAGGATACGAGTGTCTTGGAGATGATATGCGAGATCAACCAGATTATATTAAGCCTCATCCATGTCCAGTGTATCACAAATTATACGATAAAAAGTATATAAAAGTTCCAAACCCATGGCCTGAAGATGAAAAGAAAGAAACACAGAGTTCTAAGAGTTCCAAGGGTGGGTCAAGGTCTGGCGAAAGACTTGGCACGAAAGGAGCAGCCGCGCCGAAAGCTGCAAAAGGAGTAATTGATAAAAAGACTGTACCAGATAAAAAAACAGGGCCGTTAAAAAAAGAAATGAGCGAAGACAAAGTTAAAAAAATTACAAAAGAATCTGATGAAGATCTGACTCAGAAGAAAGACGTTCAGAGAAGAAAAAAGACACCAAAGGATAAATTTCGAAAAAAATTTGATAAGAAGAAAGGTTCGGAATCTGGGACACGTGGGTCTTAAAATTATGAACAATTTTCATGTATGTTAAGTCCCGGTAACAAGGTAATCATTAATATTCTCTTTCAGCTGGTCAAGTGGTTGTCAAAAAAGAAAAAAAACGTTTTCATCACTACCCTCCAGTGCCTCCACACATGGGTTGGAATTGGGAGGCCGAAGACGTGCCTGGAATGAAAGTAAGACGTTTATTTATTTATTGATACTTTATTGCAAACACAGAAAAAAAAATGTATACATTGTAATAGTAAGGTAAACGCAGGTATTAACGACCCCGCTAAGGCAATTTTAAAATCAACCAAATTTTTTTGGCATACTGGTTCCTCTAAAGATTAATAGTTTTATTTTATAAGCTAGTGTTATGTATAAAAAATGTATTTACTGAATCAAATACATTTAAATAAAGGATTATATTGTAAAAAATAATTTACAATGTGACTTAGTCGGTTGTTGCAATTACCGACCCATAAAAACGGCTGTGAAGCTATTAACGATTTTTATGCAGCTATTTCCGATCGTGTATGAGAGGAGGCCTTTTTCCAGCAATGGAATGTATATAAGCTAATGATGATGATGATGATTACTGATATTAATAAAATAAAACAAAATAAAAATGCAAATACTTATTCGTTTTTTTTTATTATCGTTATTTTTAATAAAACAAATTGAACTAAATAATTATAAACTTTTAAATTAATCAACATAATACTATTAATACACATTTAAATTTTAATTTCAGGATTTTAAATTCTAGGATAATTCGTTATGCTATTGAGATCGTAATCATTTTTTGAAAACTCTACTATTAATCACAGTCATTGGTTCTCCTCTTTTTTTTAGAAATAAATTGCAACTAATTAGTTACATATAAGATTTGGTGGAGCTTACAAACAAAACATCAAAGTCACTTAAAAAATACATTCATCATCAGACTCACTGCTATATAAGACTCGACGTTTAACTGTCTCTCTTGCAGAGCCTGACTCTAATAGACGTACGGTAGTTTCTGTTTCAAAAGAATCTCTATCATTAACTAAACTACTATTAGAATGTTCATGTCCTTTTTTATTAGATTCATTTTCTAACTCACTGTTACAAAGCACGTGACGCTTTGCTGCTTCCTTTAGAAGTAAATTAAAATCGGATTCGCTATCTGATTGATATTTACTAGGTCCTGCTACAGGAGAATCTTCTTTGTTAACCGCATTCACTTTTTTAATTGGTTTTTTCTTCTTTAAGGTCGTTGTTTTCTTTAATAATTCTTTTTGTTCCTTTTTTTCCAAGATTTCTTGTTTTCTTTTTATTTTTTTATTTTCTTTATCTTCTTTTTCTTTTATGATTCTCCTTTGATATTCCATAAAGTCATCTGATATGGCTACTGTCGGCGTGAGTTTTTTATTTAATGTCTTCTTTTTATTGTAATCAATATTATTCTTCGGGAAATAAAGAGAATTTTTAAATGGTGTCGCATAATTCTTAAATGGTGTGGGAATAGCAGAGCTACTACTTGTTTCTGGAGCGGCCTCTTTGGTTGCATTTTTGGGTGATGGTGTATACTTCTGAAGTGTTTGTAGTGGCTCCGCGGTTATTTTAATTAAAGTATTATTTTCTGGTGCAAGAATCGAAGTGGACACGGGTGTTAACTCGTTGGTAGATGGTAGAATTAGTATATTATCTTGTTGAGGTGTAGATGTCTGCAGAAACTGGTTGAACTCATCTGGTACAGTTAATAAGTTTACAGTAGGCGACGAAGGTAGAGGTTTTTCAATAAACAAAGATAAGTTGGATGCCTCTTCTTCCAATTCTTCTGAACCTTGCTCTATTGGCAGTATTAGATCACTCTCAGGAACTATATCAAAATTTAGAATAGCCTCAGATATATCTTGTGTTTCATTCACAAAATTGTTATTTAGTGTTGATTCCCCTAACTGCAGAATACTTCCACTCTCTTGATTTATGGCGTTTTCGGGGGTAATTTTCTTCCAATATTCGAATAACTTTTTATAAGTTGGATCTCCCATCCATTGGCCTCCCGAATCTTTGAAAGTTTGTAAGGTTATAGGTGACAATCTAGCCTCAAAATCTTGTTTAAATTTTTCTTCATATTCAGATGTGGTTATATGATTGACGTCTACAGTATGTTTTAAATTTGGCAACAGTTTACTGTAGTTTATTTTAGATGGATCAAATGGATATAATCCACAACATCGAAATCCGCTCTGTATGGTTTCAGGCTTAAGGCATTGGTCAAAGCATTTTTTTACTGCCGGAGCAAAATCAGTGCGTTTAAGCTTGGCATAGTTATTTTGAATTCTGAATTCATGCACAACAGTCCTCCATGTTCCTTTGACTGGTCTGAAAACAGCAACGTCGAGCGGCTGTAGTATATGTGTAGAGTTGGGAAGTAAAGCTACCAGGATGATTGCTTTTTCTTTACAGAATGTTGATAGTGGAAGTGATATGTGAGATGTGTGACCATCCAAAAACAAAACTACTGGAAATGGTATTTCATTTGTTACAAGCCACGGATAGAAGCAGTTGGTAACATATTCATAAAATGCTTCTGTGTTCATCCAACCTGATTCCGTATTACCAAGTCCCCATCCACGAGGTAATGTAGGCACAAGATTTTTTGGCAAACGTTTATACGGAAAAAGTATCATTGGAGGTACTTGATTTCCGTCAGCTGAAACGTTCACAAGCACAGTCAAGCACTCTTTTTCGTCATTAGCAACACGATTATAGACTCGTTTGCTACCTCTGCTGACCAAAACTTCTTTTTCTTTTGGGCATAAAAAGAAAGCAGTTTCGTCACAGTTAAACACTCGTCTAGGATCTTCTAAAACATGATGCAGATTATTTGTCATAAAATAATTGTTCACTCTGTCAAACCATGCACGTATAGCTGCTTCTGTGACTTGATTTCGGCTTGAAGGAAGATTTTGTGCAACACGTTTAGATACTGTTGGATGTCTCTTTATAAAATTCTCAAACCAATATCTGCCAGGCACACCATTTTTAAAAGGGTTTGGACGATTTAAGTTTTGAACTAGCTTAGCCACTGCTTCTAATAATTGTTCTTTTGTAACTGGAAATCCCATCTTGCCAAGGTAGTGAATCCAGTCTACAATCTGTTTTTCTTCACTTAAATTAAGAACCGGCTGAACTCCGCAAATTTCATTCTTATATTTCCCGTCCCGTTTGTCTCGTAATGTAGTTTTGGGAATATTAAACCTTTTTGAAGCCTCATATACACTTGTACCGTCATTAATTGCTTTGATTGCTTCGGCGAGTTGTGTTTCACTGTATACTTTTCGCCGCTTTTGTGGCTCCATACTTCTGGAAATAAATATAATTGTATGTTTTATGTTGCTTTAGCTAAGAAGTAGCATTTATTAATAGGTACCTATTAAATAATCTATATACGAACGGTAATAGCTTCTTATAGTTGCTATTGCCGACCCTCATGGGTCGTTAATAAAGTATACAAATATAAACATAAATTGTATTACCGACTCATAAAAAAATGGTTATTTTAATTCAATTGACCTTTGGACTAGAATATAGATTATAATTTATTAATGTCACAAAAAATGTTGACAAATACACACTGTTTTAAACACAAAAACAATGATTTTATTACTGTAACTATTCAATATCGATCCCGAAAAATATCATAACTTTGGTTAAATTGACAACGCTAAAAGGTAAAAACTAGACAAAAAGGTTTAGTCGCTAATAGATTTTTATAAAGACTGATAACTTAGATTTAAACTGGTCCATAAAAATACTTGTGTCAGTGTGATATTATAACATAAAAGAAAAATAAAACGAAAAGTTACGTTGCTGCCATTGCCGACTTATGGGTCGTTGATAGCTGCCACGATTAAAACTGATGAAGCTAACACCGTCCCATTTTAATTTAAAGTTTTATCGTTTCAAATTACTTTTTATTAATAAAATGTCGTGATAAATCAAGAGTTGACACTTAAATGAATACACTTAGTATTACAAGATAAACTATAGATGTCATTTGTATGTATAAACGTCTTAAATAGAAAAGTCACGTACTTACTTGAAGGAACAAGGAAACAGTATGACACGGCCTGCGTCCACGCTGCCCCGCAGTAACTGACGTATTTTATCTCTTTTTTGCAAAGCTACTCACACTAACGTAAAAGTATACGATACTCAACGAATAAACGCGAGTGTAACTTTGCCTACTTATAGCTAGAATAGTTCTGGAAACGTAAAAATTTCGAATTACTTTTATAGGTCGGTAATACCTACAGATTTTCGATGGGTCGTTGATAGCTGCGTTTACCTTAATTTGAGTACAATGGCCGTTACTAGTTTAGTTTATTGTTTAAATTTTTAAAGCAATTACTTAATTGGGTATCTTTATCTTCTCGTTATTCAAGTCTTGATAAAGTTTTACAATTCAATCATACCAATAGTATTAATTTAATTTTCAAAATTCGCATACAATTAATTATAATGATATTTTGTTTGTTAGCTCAACACTGCTAATTTGTCGTGAAAATGGTTTTTTATGAGATGGTCGATGATTCATATGGATCACGGATGGTAAGCAATCAGCTCCGCCAATGGATATCCGCTGCACCACAGAAGTATAACGTTGCCAGCTTTTGGGGGATTGGGGATTGGAAACCTGCATGGGCTTACGATAACCTGATTCCCACATCTAAACAATGCGGATTATTTGACATCAGTTTTTGTGAGGCCATGGTAACTGGCCCATTGGTGCCGAAGCATGGTGACGCTAATGAAATCAGTTTCTGAAAAGTTAGGATGGAAATTAATGAACACCTGTGCAAAGGGGCATGCCGTTAAAAGGGATTAGTACATTAGGCTGCCTGTTCAGAACCTGGCAAGTACCAATATGTTTCCCGAGTTATATATTTTCCTTAACATTATTTAGACACCCCTGCCCTGATGTAATGGTGAAGGAAAACATCGTGAGCAAACCTGGCCTTACAATTCTAAATGAGTTTGAAATCGCCAATCCACCTTGAGTACCGTGGTGATTAATGCTCTATCTAAATTTTCCGTGCGAGAAACGTAGTCGTTATGATGAACCTAAGTCTGGTAGCTTTAACCCTCTATCGGTTGTCGAACGTTTACCGTGCCCCTGGTTATAATATTATAATATAATGTAGCGGTATGATGCAGCTGCGGGTAAGTGTAAGCCAGCGGTAAATACATTGAAAAGGAACATCTGCAAGATTATCACAATAAGTACTTACTTATAATATTGCAAACCTGAAGAGCTTTTGATTGACGGTTAACGCGCTATTTTACGAACTAGCCAGGGGTTCGAATTTGAAAGTTAATTTTGGTTGAATTATCAATTTATTGAGGAAGGTTATAATACTATCCAACATCACAGGCAGTAGACAGTCATAGACGGCACGGTTGGGGTATACGGTATGGCTGGGAAACTGGCTGCCGCGCAACGTGTCGCGGGTTCGATTCCCGAAAGGAACAACTCTTTGTGTGATCCACAAATTGTTGTTCCGCGTCTGTGTGTGATGTGTATGTGAACTTGTATGTTTGTAAACGCACCCACGACACAGGAGAAAATCAAAGTGTGGGGCAAAGGTTAAAAAAAATAAAATGATTTGCTATGTCACTGATAATGTTTACAACAACACTTTTAAGTCAAATTTTACGGTAAAGAATAAATCATATGAATTTATATAAAATAAAATTTTGGCAATAATTTATGTATAATTTATATAAAGTCATTTTTTTATTTTGTTTTCAAAAATATTTGTATTTTTTTATAGTTACGGCCCAATTGGCGACCAGGAGCTGCAAATGCTATTTTGGTTAGAAGGTATAGAGCTCAAAGAGAGGGTCTGGATAGTGTGAACAAGAAGAAGCGTGCTATGATGCAGCGCAAGAAAAAAATAGAAATGAAACCTACACTGATTGTTACTAAACGTGACGGAGAATACACAGTTCAAATGGAAGTGTTTAAAAAATTTTCTAAGGAAAGACTTTTATTTCAATATCCATATGATGAAAAACCACCTATAATATACACAATAGGAAAAACAGAAGAAGAAAAACGTAACATTCAAAAGCAACGAGACAGACGAGAGCGCAGGGAGACTAGAAGAAAGAGCAGACTATTACAGTCTACATTTAGGGATAGATGTCAAGAAATTTGTTTGAAGGCCTACAATCAGGCGATTGGGCTGTTACCTTTGCCCAATCCTAATTCACCTTTTTGTCCTTGTAACGATAAACCTGAGCTGAATGTCACTCCACCCATCGTGGACTCCTGTTCATGCTCCGATGTCGCAACCATTTCAAGTAGTGACACGGATAATGACGAGTGGGTTGTAGAATTCACGCCACCCATGGCTAGATGGGATGCTAAAGCTAAACACCCACCCACGTTTGCTTCCAATGAATGTCAGTATAATTACTTAGATTATAAAGTGAAATTACTTGATAAAAGTGGCAACGCGGTGCCGAGGTATTTCAAAGGCCCAGATGGTAAACAGGAATGTAGTGACTTAGGCGGCTTCTGGAGTCCAAAACATATTTGGCTGGAAATTAATAAAGATGGGTATATTGGACCGGATAATCGTTGGGTGCCGATGAGTTTTACCGGACCTGACGGATTATACTATTCAGCAGAGGAAGGATCGTTCACGGATGGTGCGGGACAAACTTGGAAAATTGGAGTGGATGGATATATTGAAAAGGATGGCAACTGGCAGTTTTATCCTAAAAAGAAAGCACCTAAAAGCACTAAATCAAAGTCAACTGCTACGGGTTCGTCTATAGATCGGAAAAAAGGAGCAAAATCACCGGAATGTGTGAATAAAGCAAAAACTGGTGAAACAAGAACGAAGAAAGAAGAAACTCCAGCAGCAGCTGCACCAGTATCACCACCTGTTTCAATGACAAAATCAAAGGTGTCAGCGCCTGAGAAAAAGAAATTTAATAATCAACCGCCGCCCAAATCAACATCTCCATTATCACAAGCTAGATCCATTAAAGAGCACACTAAAGAAAAAAGAAATGTTCATCATGCGCAAAAATCCAAGAACGCTATGGTGATGAGTGCTTCAGTTGATTATGCAGCGAATAAGTTTCCACGTTTTATCCCAGTAGACCGTCAACATTTTATGGATCAAAGGAAATTAGCAAAATATCGGGAAATCATTGAAGATCTTAGAGCATACGACGATATAGGAGATTTAGCGCCACCTGTTAGGGCAAATAGAGCTTCAAACACTCCAAGAAAAAAGTCTCCAATGTTGCAACGCTATGTGAGCAGCAGCGAGAGAAAGTCTCTCGGCGCGGACAGATCCGTTGGATTCAGAACATCAACCACTTCTTCTCCGTTTTATCATTCGCTAATGACTAAATCAGCGGCAGAAAGTGTTCGCTGATGATTTTAAATTGTTAATAAGCTCGCCAATGCCAACTTAAATAATTATTTATCTTATTAATTGAAACAAACTTTATTATTGCCCGCTTCTTTATGAGGCTGGGGTTAATTTGAAATAGGTAGCAAATTATTTATTTATTTTTGTCACACTTTTCTGTGTTGTAAAACAAACCAAAACTAAGAAATAGAAGATTACAACATATACAGCCTCTATTGTATAAAACTATTATAATGCCATCATGGCTGCCTTGATCTTTCAAAAATGATAAACGAACAAATTATTCAAAATATGACAGTTTTTGGCAAGTTTTAAATTGTAAGTTTTTAATTATAATAAAATTTTATAGATATTTGTTAAATTCGGGAATATAGGGTTTAAAGACGTGTTCCGAATTAAATTAAAGTTTACTAACTTGTATCGTAAGTGTAAATAAAGAAAAAATGGCTGTTGCGGATTCAATGTTTATGTTTGAGATAGTTGTTGAAGAATTGAAAAGTTTAATCAACTGTAAAGAGTTCTGCATTAAAAGCCAATTTGCGGATATATTCAGTATTCATCTGGACGATCCCAATGAATATAAATTGAAATTACCAAAACGAACTAAAAAATCTACACGGAAAGTCAAGCTAAGGAGAAGCTCTACGTCTTCAATAAGGACCTCAGGGCAGTCCATTCTATTTGCCAATAATGTGGAATCTTTGGTTTCAAGTATGAGACAGTATCCAATGGAGTTGTCACTTTGGAGTAAGATAATTCCTGATTATAAAATAGGATCTACTCATATTGCGTGGGGCACCCCATATTTCGATTATTTGAATAAACTCCACAAGAGACAAGACTCAGTTTGTGTCAAAGGGGAGTATAATGTTTTTGATGAACTTACTTCAAGGCGCATGGCAATAATTAAACTAAATATTAAATTAAGTCATGTAAAAGGCACAGAAAATTCCGAATTTAAATATGTATTGCCAAGAAATCAAGAACCAGTAAACACTGGGTTTAAATCTAAATGCACAATTAAAGAGATCACAAGTAATTCCACGGAGACTGGTACGGTTAAAGCGATTTACAAAAACGAAAAGCGTAAAGTAAAAAAAAATACTCGTTATATACATAAGAAGTCCAAAAAGGCGGAGGAAAAAGCAGTCCAAGAAGCTGATAACAAAGGCCACACGAGTGTATTAGAAACTTTTGAAGTTAATAGTAAAACTTGTAACAAAAGATTAAATAACAGGATTGTTGCACTAGTAAGAAGTGATGTAAATCTGAAAAATAACAATTTAAATGTTAAAAAATCTAAATCATGTTCTAACATAATTCAAGAAAAAAATTTTTTAAATTACATCTTTGGTGGCCAGCCCACAGGACCTTTTGGAAACCAGGTTTACTGTGTAGGATATTTTACGGTACAAAACGATTTTGCTGATTCTCCTAAGTCTGCACGTTCTGAAAAAACTTCTGAAAAAAGTGTTTCCCGAAAGTCTAGTCCAGTGAAATCTAAATCATCATCAACGAGCAATCGATCTGATCAATCTGATCAGACAGCACTGAGAGAAAGATATAAGTTTAGAATATGTGACGCTAATTGTCCAGCCAAGAAATTGGAAAACCTATCTGGAACACTTAGTGTTTGTTCATTAGATTTACCGATGGAAGCTTCACACTTGATCACTATTAAAAAATGTGATCGCGTAGACTGTGATGGTAAGAAAACACGCCAACCACGTACACCACCGGACGATGCTATTTATTTAGACTTGGGAATGCCTAAAGATGCGAAAATAAAAGTAGATAAAGTAGAGAAAGTAGAGGAAGTAGTAGGAGGGGTGAGAGCTAAAATGAAATTTGGTGACGAACCTTGTTACTGTGAATGCGAATGTAAATTTGGCTTTGTAAAAAAAACAACATTCTGCAATATATGTGGCGGCTATGAAAATTTTGGTGAAGAATATCCTAAGCGACCTAGATCTGAATTACCTTTTCCTTGCCCTATCTTTCATAAATTAGTTGACAGAAGTAAAATCAGTACTTCTGGAAGCGATACCAAGAGAGATAAAAAAGAAGTAACTGAGGTAAAGAAAGATAGAAAGGACATGTCTGAAGCTAAGTCAAAAGATAAAAAAGAAGGTCTTGAAGATAAGAAAGAAACAGACGGCAATGAAATAAAAAAAGATAAAAGAAAAATTGCTAAGCAAAAGACAACCGTTTTGGATAGAAAAAGTTCGGACTCCGATAGAGACCAAACAAAAAAAGGCAAAAGAAGGAAAAAGGATAGCAGATTTAAATTTAACTACGGTTATCAAGGTATACGTACGTATTTTATTTTTTTTTAAAGATATATTTTTTTGTTTGTTGTATAATGAAATTTAATTTCCGTGATTTGGTTTCCTACGTAGCTCCGCAAATTGGACACAGTCGCTGCCTGCTGCCTTGTGGTGGTACGTTAGGTGCAGTACCTAAACGTATGGGTTGGTTGTGGAATGCTGAAAATGTACCGGGAGTGAAGGTCTGTATAGCTTTTTCCATCGTCAAAAGTCCGTTGTCGTAAAGAAATACGAATGTACATTTTTTTTATTTTTTTTTTAGTTCCGTCCATTATGGAAACCTGGTGCTACCAATAAACACGTAGTAAGATTACTTAAAATTGCCAAGAACCCTGGCCAAGCTTTGGCTAAAAAAAGAAAAAAAGACACTGGAAAGGTCAAAAGACCTTTGAAGCGGCCATTACTTATAGTACAAAAGAAGGATGGCGAATACACTGTGACAATGGAAACGATGAAAAGTTATGCTAAGCCTAGGACGTTCAATCAACACCCATATGAAGACAAACCTGTAGTGACATACACGATAGGGAGGACATCAGAAGCAAACCTTCAAAGAAGAAAAAGGAAAATGCACAGACAAAAGATACTGGAGACGCATCAGCGCGAATTTATACAAAGCGCTTTTAAGGATATGTGTCAGGATATATGTCTCAAGACTTATCAACAATCTCTTGGCATACTTCCTTATACTGAAATTCCCGATTGTCCATGTTACCCAATAAATCCCGGTCCTGACAGAGTAGACTTAGATCGGTCCTGTTCTTGCTCTGATGACCATATAAAAATTGGTTCAGCCACTGATTCTGATGAATGGATTGTCGAATTTACACCACCTTCTGCTAAATTTGATCCAACATACAAATGTAAGAAAGTTGTAACTGCAGACAATTCAACTCAATATACATACTTAGACTACAGAGTGAAACTTTTAGATAGGTATGGTAATCCTGTACCTAGGTTCTTTAAGGGTCCTGATGGGAAGCAACTCTGCAGTGACTTGGGTGGATTCTGGGGACCGGATAATAAGTGGCTCGAAATAAACACGGATGGTTATATAGGACCTGATGAGAGATGGGCTCCAAACACTTTTATAGGACCGACCGGAGAAATGGTCGATGCTGAGACTGGAAAATTTCAGTCTGCAGATGGTGAGTGGTTGGTTGTTGGAGTGGATGGATATGTCGATATGGGCAAGTGGAAGTTCTATTCCAAGTCAAAACTTCCAGCAGCCCCGAAAAAAGAGAAGTCAGGTAAAAAGAAAACTGCTGCAAAGCGGAAAGAAGAGAAAAAAGGTACAAAACCATCGGAGGCCACTTGGAGTTGTCTCGGCAGTGTTTCTCCGAAACAATTGTCTAAAATGGGTATAATTGGGCATGGGCAGGATAAGAAATTATTGCTAACTAAATTACGGGACATGTTAGCTCATGGCGAAGACGTCAAAATACCAGAACCGAAAATAGTTCCGAGGTCTGGAAAGAAACATAAAGGGCGGCGCGGTGCTTCTCAACAGCACAGTTTTGTAGAGAGGAGAAAATGTAAGCATGCTACACCATCAAATAAAGGTATTGTTGCGGTAGATGGACATGGGAATAAGATTTATTTTAGGTTAAAAGATGTCAAAAATAGGAGACCCAAAGATAGATTGACTACCTTACACATCAGGGCATAAGTTTAAGTTCATTCCACGTACCATGTTTCCACTCGTTCATTAGTTCAGAATTGATGAAGAAGCAGCGATATGATCGCTTAGTGGCCCTCGCCAAGGCGGCGAGCACTGAAGGAGACGGACAGAAGCAGTCAACCCAATCTTCCCGCGGGCGCAACACCACAAGCACGCAAGCTAAATATGTGTATGTGGTTTAATTCTGAGTCCAAGCGATAGTTACGGTATAGGTTTAGATGATCGAAGTTTTAAGTGGTATTTATTTGGTTACGTGCTAAGTCAAATTTTGTAACGTTATTTTGTTAGGTGAATAGTGAAATAAAATATTTATTGTTGTTCATTGACATTTTTAATATCAATAACCCTAGTCCCCTCTTCAATTCAAGACGGACGGAGAGACCCTTTTTGAATCATTTTAAAAGAAACTATTTCCCTTTTTTTATGAAGCTAACTTCTTTGTTCTTAAACGCTAATTAGTAATTACCTACATATATCTCAAAATCTCTTTCTGAACAGTATAACGCCGTGCCGTTATTACATTACTTTAAATAACATTGAACAAAACATGAACAGAAATTTAACTTTAATTTTCAAACGTTTGTTTTTATAAAAACTTGTATTCAGACAACTGGAACTAAATGATCACAACATGATGCAATGAAAATAGATTACGAACAAGTAAGCCTTCTTTTAAATTTCTTATTTTTTTAGTTTTTTGGCTGCATAAGTGTATAGGTGTAAAGAAATATATTAACGTATTATTTAATCCTAGGTAAGACAAGGTTGGAGGCCCGGTGCAATATCAAATCGGCTCCTAAAGAAATTGAACAAAGTGAGAAGGCAAACGCATCCAGTCGAAAAGGCTAATAAGCCTACTAAAAAGACGAAGAAAAGAGTAATTGACAAACCAACCCTCATTATATGTAAGAGAAGGGGGGAGTACCGGGTGGAGATGCAGGTCTCTCCAGCGGACAGTGAAATGAACATTGACCACTGCAGTCCCCTAATCTACAGGATAAGCAGAGAGGATAACGAAGAAAGGATTGAGAAACGATTAAGAAAACGACAGCGGCTCATTAAAAAAGCCGTGGACAAAGTTTGGCAAGATCCTTACCACCCCGAAACGTGTGAAAAGATCTGCCTGCCGGTGTATAAACAAGCTATAGGTCAGTACGATTCTACTCAGGACTGCAACTGTAGTGAGGAAGAACAAGAAGATGAATCATGTAGCTGCTGTAACGGCGAAGACGATGACAGTTCTGATGCCAGCTCTCTGGACCTTGAATGGGAAATACATTTTTCACCCCCGATCGCGTCTCAATCTTGATATTTTATAAGGCCTATATTCCTTATTTGAATTGTATTAGTTTTGGAATAAAACGCAAGTATTAAACAACGACTTTACTATTTATTTTACTTTTTGCTAGGAGATTGTTGAGCATGTCCCAAATGACTAAGGAGAGGGTAGTGTGAGGTGCTATCCGTAGGTAGAGTGGTCCGAGTCCTTTGTAGAGACCGTGGAGGCCTTCGGTTCTGTATATTTTGGTAAGGCAGTCGAGAACTCCCGTGTATAGGACGGCGCCTGTTGCTGAGGATCCTGAAAATCGAATAAGAAATAACTGTAGTTATTTAATGTTCAAGACACGTAGTATAATCAGGAAAGATAAATTTAATAATTATAAGGTAAAGTGATTCTGAGATGTAGAAGAGTGTTAGAGTATGAAAAATATGCAGTTTGCCAAGTATATTTAAATTCTCGTACTGGCTCGATCCTTTACATCAGATAAGTTATTTGGTGATTACACTTCCAAATTCTCACACTGTATGGAGTTTGAAATTATTTTTTGTGTGCGATCTTTGGAAGTACAGTTGTATTACAGTGGGACAGATATTATTAAAACAGGCCATAATTTGTTTTCAAGAAATACAGCACTAAAAATCAAGTACAAGCGTCAACCTAGACAGTTAAGCTCAGGGTTGACGCTAATTGTTGCGCATCTAACATCTTTCGAGTTCTATTATAAAACAAAGACGAGTAGACGGAGAGAAGTAGGTGAAGGTAGTCCGTTTACAGTAGACCTCTAAAAGACCCAAACTCCCTACAAAGAACATTAAAAGCGTAGTTCACTAGACCATAAGCGAAGCATGCAAGTATCCGACCACCGACCACCAAGCTGGAACGTTACCCTGGTTATAAAGCCGTGTGTTTGCAACATCCAGCGGAGTTTCGATACAAACAACGATCACACCGCACACGATGCTCGCCCAAAACGACAAAGTCAGCGGTGCATCCTCAAAATATCCCCGAGATAGCAGATATTCCTTGAATCTGTAAAAAAAGTTTGCAGTGATACCAACCCTGGTTGTATAAACGGACAGTTGTGACGTCGAAGGGGCATATGGCTAGGGCTACCACCACGCCACTAACAGCGCTGGCTCCGAAGGCGAGTCCAAGCGGTGTGTTTGTGAAAAAACCATGTGACAGCAACTCTTCTTTTGCTCTGAAGTGGAAATATTAGTTGAATGGTTTCTTTTTTTGTTCTAATATTTCCTTGGTACAGGCGCTAGAAGGTCAACCAGTTAGTCTTATTTTCTTCTAATATTTCCTCGGGTTCAATACGGGTGCTAGAAGGTCGACTATTAGTCTTATTTCAGAAGAGTTTTTGTGACTATATTTTAAAATGATGAGGTTGAAAATCTAGCGCCTGAAAATCTGCTGTTGTTTGATTTTGTCAAAACTAACTAATTGCTGCTTTTGAAATATGACATAGTCTATTTAAATACCGTTTGTAAAGTTAATAATAGCCTGTAATCTTTTGTAAATAATTCCACTAAGTTAATTTATAGTGAGGAAATTGAATTCACACTAAAGTTCAGCAGTTGATTACTATTTGACTATTTTTATTATTATTTCGTTCTTGTATTATTGTAGGAAGGCATAACCTTCCTCGTTATACTTTTTAAGGATAAATTCCTCACTAGCCAAAGACCTAGTCCTATTAAGCCTTACTTGGAGAATGTGGTGAGTTGAGCGGCGCTGCCAATGGCCAGCCTCGTGCACGTCGCGGATACTCCCGCGAAGAAACCCCTCAACCCTTCAGTCTTGTATATCGTGACGATGCCGTCACACATTCCTGGAACATTTAAGGTTACTCGTAAAACACCAATTAGTTGCCTACTTAGTTACAGCAGAAACTTTCTATATTAGGTACTTTGAAAATCATTGTAATCTTTTGCCTATACGATCTCCGGCCACCCAAGTGCCTCGCCGCCCGACCAGAACCAGACCTGAGCGTAGGGCGCGTCGCGTTCCGCGCACGCCTCATAGAGTCATCAGACCACCACGGATGGAGCCCAATAGGGCAGATGCCGATACGGAGCCGCGGAGGATCTAACGGGTTGCTGGGGTCCGGTTTGAAAGGCAGGAGTAGGAACGGGGTGGTTTTTAGTCAGTAAGAGTATGACACTCCCTCACGCCTCACCCAGGCGGGAGCAGTCATTCGATGATTTCCCCCCTTAAAAAAATGACCTTTGCCTATGAAATTGCCGTTCTGCAGTACTGGCCGTTTCAAATTAAAATAATTTTTGCTCGGCAAAGAATTTATTGGGCAATTTACTTTTAAATATTCAGATACACAGAATTTAAAATTGTGCTTTGTTGGATATATACCTAATACATGGTGAAAAGAATGTTGAAGGAAAACCTCCAATGTCGTCAGGATTGCCCGCCTTATTATTTACTTTAGCAGTAGAGACCATAAGCCTTCTATTAGGATTTCAAGGAGTCATTGGACCAAAGGACCAAATATATATTTTCCTTACCTTTATATCTATGCTGCCTCCCGACTGCTATACTAGGGTGTGCAGCGGCTTGTATTCTAGTCTTTACCACAGAAGCAGGGTTGCCAGTCACACCACTCATGACACCGCTCGCACTTGACCAAAATATTGCTTTTTCTATGCTAATCTCGCCATTTTTGTTTTTCGTCCATCCGTTTACTTCTGCGACGTGGTACATGCCTAGTCTGAAAAGTGATTTATATTAGTCAATAAAAAGTATCATAAAATTTTAATACAAATTGTAATTTAAAAGTTTAGTTTTTTCATAGAGCTCTGCCTTGAACTCTGTGGAATATCCCATAGTAAGCTCGTGCACTATAATAATTTTCTAACTATATTTCGAAAACCGACTGCAACCTCCTTTTTTGAAGTCGATTAGTCTAAGTTGCGGTGGGCTGGTAGAGAATACCATCCGGCATTAAGCAAGCCATTGTATGATCGTACATAAAGTGTTAAATAAATAAGTAACAAACATTATTCTGAAACCTACTTCATAATTTAATTTAGCCAATCGCGGACAGATAAACATACCTACATACATATGTACATAAGGTTAAACTGAGAAACTCCTTCTATTTTTTAAGTCGTTTAAAAAATAATATTAACGCGCAACACGGCGCGCGGCGTAACAAATTACCTGACGGAGTTCATAGTAAACCCAAGCACCATGGCTGGTGCCAACCCCTTCTGCAAGGCCAGTGCACCATCAGCTCTTGCGATCACATACAAAGCGTGGAAGATGCCTCGATACCGCGTGGTTGCATCTGTTCGCGCGCGCAGCTCTCCTTGCAACTGCATCCGGGTTTTAACAACATCCATCGGATTGGTAAAAATAGTTGCGCCGGCGCCTGCCAGGCCGCCGATTACGAAGTCCATGATTTAAGTTACTGAAAATTAATAATGACAATATATTTTTGAAATGTTTGCTCAATTTATGTGAAACAACTGTGTCATATCGTGATTGTCGGTGCAACATATTGCACAGTTTAGTTAGTAGAGCACTGATAGTAAGTTAAATGATGAAGGATCATGCCTCGTCACATTTGGTTTTTAAACTTACCTAAATACTTATTAAATATACCCAATGCATTGATTGTATTATCGTAATCACATTGAATTTGGTATCAAAAGTGAACGTGATTATATTTATTCAGTGCACGGATTTAGGATAGTTCTCTTATTTATGAGAAGTAAATAACGTATTTCCACTAAAGGCCATTGATTAAAGAAATGTAGGTGATAATTTAAACATCATTTTTTAACTTTTGGCAACAAAGCTAAACAAAACATAAATTAGATTTGATTGAATTGTAAAACAACATTATACTACTAACTTAGCCTTACAAAAGACGCTAAAAATACACTACTGTGCACCCATTCATTTCTATCGTATTTTCCTCATTAAAAGTGCATTGTTCCATTAACAATAATTATAAATTAATACTAAGAAACAAAATGAATATAATCTGGCAGCTAGCCATGTGATATCATCATCTTTCTTAAGTGCATCACTCAATACTCTAATGATATTATGGTAAACATAAAATACACGTGGCGGACTAAGTATTTAAAAAGTATCTAGGAAAATAGTCACCCATAACATTACGCCTTCTATTTATTCCCCGAATGTAGAATAGAAGGTAGAAGGCACTTATTTAACATGAAAAATTCTCGTAATTTTCATTGTTTTCATATATTTATTTTAAATTCTCTATAAATTACATTTTTAAACAAAAAATGATATAAAATAATATTTAAAAATATAAAATAAATAATAGGAGCCGACCAGTAGCGGGAGCATGCTCCAAGCTACCGGTGGTTAGGGCTCCAGAGAAAAAACCTCCTGTCGTTTCTAAGAGAACTGCTTTCTGTATCAGGCCCTTGATCCAACTACCTAACGCCAGCCTCCTGAGATGGATGTTGAGGCTTTTAGGAATTAACCTTTGGCCCACACGACTATCGGCACAATGATAGCCGAATCTACACTCCACATGTCGACAACCTCGTGAGCGAAATCTAGATAGTTTATCCTTCTCAGCTTTCACGAGATTGTCATGATGGGGAATGGTAACATCATTGTTTTTATTATTATGCTATGCCTTATGAACTTATTTCCATACGTCTTTAAAGACCCCATCATTGACAATCATTGTGTCAATTTTTAATAACTGAAACCATCAATAATGATAGGACCGGAAAATGAACTCGAGAAATCGCTTGGTAGTGATTAGTAGTATCACTTGATTGACGAGATAGTCAACGTTTATTCTAATAGAAGTGTGAATGTACATATATGCCTACAGACATCTTATCTTTCTAACAAAAGTATAAATGTATAATAATGCCTACACCCTTATGTATTAAGAAATAACTCAATTATGTAAAAAATATTCAAACTAAAAAGTGAAAAAATAAGTAAAATTACAAATTCTCAAGTTAACTAAATGAAACATTCCAGAAACAAGCACACAAGACCTTGCAATCTTAAGAAAGTAGCCAATAAAATATTTAATTAACCTATAATAAAAAAAGTATTAAAAACAAATAACAATACTCACCTTGTACTAAGAATAAACGTAAATATAAATATCACAAAACAATAAATAATATTAATTACTAAATTATATTAATATCACTTTGGCTTTACACGTTACATCGTCCAAACAGAACGCTCACTATCATTAAAAATGAAATAAAGACGGGAAATATTATCTCTGGTGTGACATTGAAACACAGGTATGTTGTTTAAACATTACACAATTAAGCTAATTTAAGTGTTATCAGTATACAAATAGAGTTAAAAATCGTTACATGTACTACTTGACAGTTCTTAAACCACGTGTTCACTACGTTTATTGAGAGAATGACGTATGTGTGACGTCATAGAATGATTTTGGCGCGCGAATGCGGAAATATGGCGGAGTTACGTAACTCGGCTGACGGCTCGACGGTTGAGCCAATACTGACGGTATTGCTTTAATCACGGACTAACAGTTGAATGAACGATTGTTTTAAGATGGCAATGGCATTGGGGAGTTCCACTGAGTTGGAATTTCCTATGGTTATTTGCTACAACTTCAAAGAACTTATAGATTTAAACAGTGTGTAATTTCGATTAGAAGGACCAAATTATTCGTATGGAAGGACCAACTTTCCATCACACAAGTTCTTAATTATAATTATAACCACTACAATGCTTATCATATCTAAATGTACACTTTAACAAGTACATATTTACAAAAATACTTATATATATTTTTATCTAATTCTTACACAAATATAAAAGAAATTAATGTCGTATATACTCGACCATTCTGAAAGAAATGGGTCACCGAACTTGTAGGTCGAACCCATTCGTGATAAAATAGGTTAGTAGGTCGAACTCATTGAAGCTCAGAGGCGCCACGTTACATAATGGGAAATGTTTTTCTTCTAAAGTATATGGAAAATGGGTAAATAATTACACCAGAAATGTAAGGTTTGCAGTATTTAGATTGAACTTCTACCTATGTATGTTGGCGTAAATATTTTTCTAACTGCTTTTTGATTTTCCGTCATTGGCGACCGAGTCACTAGAAAGTACTTATACATAGTCGAAAATACAAAGATGAAATCTGACGTTAGAAGTTTTAAATCAAAACACTTATAGGAATCGAAAAGAAAAAATTGTAACTTTATAGATTTTCATATTGCCACAAAATTTGGTAAAAGCAGTAGTGGACTCATTTTTATTAGTTAATCGTGAAGGGAGGTCTAATTTTACGCAAAAGAAAAGAGCGTATTCCATTTTAAAAGGCCGGCAACGCATCTGTGACTCCTTTGGTGTTTGGTGGTGTGGCTCGTTTGCCTCTTATTCCATAAAAAAATCAATGTAGTTGGTTTTTCCCAATAAAGAAATTATATTAAAACATGACGTTGGGCTATAGGCACAACGATTCATTGTCACATGGTAGCTGTGGTAGTTGATAACTTTATCACTTTGCCCACTTCGCTGATAATGATTACGTGGTACATTACACATCTATTTATTATAATACCGACTGTTACAGTTACCTAGTCACTGTTTTTGTAGATAACGAGACAAGTCATTTTGTAATGTGCTTGAATTTATTAATGTTTTTGTGGTAATGAATTGTTAAAATGAAAAATTGTCGTTATATCGGCGAAGAAAAGATGTAGTTACCTAGTTATTTATGATAATATGGAATGATATGGTAAAAAATATCTATGTGTAATTTTTTTTATGGGGGGAAAATCATCGAATGTCTTCTTCCACCTGGGTGAGGCGGTAGGGCGTGTCAGACTCATTACTGACTAAAAACCATCCCGTTCCTACTCCTGCACTTCAAGCCGGAGCCCCGGAAACCCATTAAGTTCTCCGCGGCTCCGTATCGATCTATCTGTAATAAGTTTTTTTTTTCATCTGGGAAAAATGTATAAAACAAATATAAATGTACCATTCGATCTTCAGTTTCTCCTAACTAACTCCAGATGCTACAATCTCTTCGATGCGAAGCTAATGAAATACAAACTATTTAAAAAATACTTATAAATAATATGTATACCAACTTAAGGCAACAGTTCTTTAGGACAGTACAATAATAAAAAAATATTTCTACAGAAACGTACCTATTTGAAGACACACGTTAATCCGCGTAAGGACCACATGCAAACATTAAATAAAAAATATATATTCACAATCAATTTAAGGTAGGCAAAACAGAGTTATCTCTTGCACCAAATATGTAGTTAATTACAGTAATTGAAGTGGAAAGTAATAAGTAATTAGTTACAATGTGTTATCAAAATACAAATTAAACTGATAACAACTCAAATTGGTTGTGTTGGCCTTCGAAAGTTGGGATGATGTTCGAGAATTGGTATATTTTTCAACAATAAAGGTGTTAAGTTAGTTTTTTTGTAAAAGGAATGGCAACATTTGTCGTGATTTTTCCCGCAAGGAATTCAAATATACGCTTTAAGTCTGAAAATTTTGTAATCACTTTACTTATAGGAATCGAATTAAGGATCATAACCGATTAATTCTTAAGTACTTGAATAATGAATGATTTTACTCGAAATTTTAATGCATAAACTAACTACCATCATTATCTATTTGAATAAAATGATGAACATGACGACCTTGAACTCTTAAGGTCAAAACTCCGAGGTTTTTAAACTGCGTAGGAAGCGGCGACATCAACTAAAATTCAATTAGTTTAAAATATTAACAGGAATCACTTCTATGACGTCATAAATGATAAAACTATCATTGGACCCTAAAACTACGATCAATGAGACTAGCAGGAAATTTCTGCTAGACTTGAACAAGAAAAATTGTGTTAATTTGGTAGCCGACACGTGTACGTAGCAGTGTAGCTGCTGAGTACGCCTCGTAGCCGCTAGTAGTCACGTAGCAACATCGTCTAATCCGCGTAGCCGATGCGTGGACGTTGACGTAGCCGTCTAACTGTAGCGTAGTAGATCATAATGTAATTAACTCGTAGCCGATCGTACTCGATCGTAGTCGCGTAGCAACGTTGTCTGATCTGCGTAGCCTCTACGTGGTCGCTGCGTAGCTGCATAGACTTCGCGTAGTCATTTTGATAGTAGCTCAAAGTGGGTGTTACATTGTACAGTGGCATTAAATACCTAGTCCAGCCTAGCCCCTCTAACCCAACCCCAACGATAACTCCAACAACAAATCTACAATCATGTAAGGTAATTTTAATTTTGATAGTAAATGATTTAATTTGTCTACTTTTTTCTTCCTAATATGATATGTAAACTTAGAGTAACATCACATCTTTTATAAATGTGTCTTTTTTGTAAATATATTGTAAACTACCTTCTACCAGTGGTTTCGCCCGCGTTCT